TTTCTGAGCTGCTCCAAAAGATTGAAACCCACTTTCACCCCTGTACTATTCAAAGTTGTTTGGACCTCCTTTGAACTAGAAAGAGTGGCATTTGCACAGGCCTTGTTTCAACTTCTTGAAAATATTATGCGGGTTAGTTGGGTCATGTCTAATATGCCCATTGTTTATTAATTTGTGATATATACTATTTGAATTCAATTGTAAATTATTTGACCAAAACCACTCTTCGCTTCGAATTCACTGCGAACCTCTAATTCCCTTTTCACAAGCCTATTCGAGAGTGATAAAGCACAATCCGGTGTCGCCTGCTCGGGTTACATAGTTAAAGAGAGAGCTGGCAATGCACAAAATCAGGATCAAGCGGTTGAAAGAAGTTGTGGAAGAGCAGGAATTCACTGTTGGCAGCGCAGCAACCATTCACTACTAGAGCTGACAAATAAGCTCTTTGATGTGTTTTATTCTAATCAGAAAGTTTTAAAAAATTCAAATAAAATTAAATTTTCTCTCAATATGAAGGCTTTCGGAGGAACCACTTTATAGTAGGGACGCACTCATAGAAACTTGAATCTAAGTGCAACTTGTAGACGCAAAGCGGTCAGTGAAAAGTCACATTATGAGGTCTGATACGAGATCACTGCTCTCAGAACACACGGACTCAGCTGATGCGGGCGGGGAATCTAAACACAAGCTTTTACAACAACGATATTGTCACGGGTTCGTGACGTCAACAAAGAAACAGATAGTAGGATGAAGGTTAAACTGTTTATTTGGGCGAACTTGTGCCCGGTAAACTGAAAGTCTGATCATAGTAGCAGACCTGCACTGACAGCGGTGAACGGATCGTCAGCCGTCGATCAACTAACAAGCGGCGAAGCGTGTCGGCATTTATACATTTGTCGTCAAATGTTCTAGCGTTATCGCTAGCGGTGACATAGGCTCCAGAATAATCTGTATAGTTCGCGGAGTGGGCGTGATCTTATAAAAATGACCTACTACAGTCCTGAAGCTTCTCAAAGACTGCAGGCGCGGTTTGCGCTGAGAATTACGTAGTGTATTGGGGCGATAACAAAACTTGAGAAAAAGAATGTGGCATTGCCCCCTCTGAAAAAGGCATCCTTTCGTTGCTTCAATGGAAGATGATAGTTCAACAATAATGTAAGAAAGTACAAGCAATAAATTATATTACAGCACTAATACAACAACAAATTGCACTGTTTCAGCTTGTTAACGCGCTTGAAACGGCCTGAGGCGCGCGACATGGACGACTTCAGGTCGCGGGCGTTGTCGTTGAGAGTTCGTGATGCCGTCAGGGACAACCTCGTAATCGAGTAGGCCGAGACGTCGAACCACCCTGTACGGTCCGAAGTACCGTCGCAGAAACTTTTCACTGAGTCCCCGTCGGCATATTGGCGTCCACACCCAAACAAGTTCATTGAGCTGGTATTCCACGAAGCGTCATCAAAGATTGTAACGGTGGCTGTCGGTCGTCTGTTGGTGCTTGATACGGAGGCGCGCGAGTTGTCGGGCTTCTTCGGCGCGCTGAAGGTACTCATTAACATTGAGGTTTTCTTCATATGTGACGTTGGGTAACATGGCGTCGAGCGTCGTTGCCAGGCTTCTTTCGTAAATCAATTTGTATGGAGATATCTGCGTCGTCTCCTGCACCACTGTGTTGTATGCGTAGGTCACGTACGGAAGAATGGTGTCCCACGTCTTGTTTCGAACATTCGACTTGCCGTCGAATGTTCTAGCATTATCGCTAGCAGTGACGTAGGCTCCAGAATAGTCTGTATAGTTCGCGGAGTGGGCGTGATCTTATAAAAATGACCTACTACAGTTTTGAAGCTTCTCAGAGACTGCAGGCGCGGTTTGCTCTGAGAATTACGTAGTGTATTAGGGGGATAACAAAACTTGAGAAAAAGAACGTGGCAATGTCGCCAGCCAAATCAAACACGTCACTAGTGACAAGCTAAACAACCTTATTCAATATTTCTATAGAAAACTCAAGCAAACACAAGGTAGCGTGAATGCGGCGTCACCAATGTTCGACTGACCGCGGGGGACCCACAGACGCTCTGCTGGAGATGTCCATCCACGATCACTGCTAAATGCCAATGAGCTTCAATACTTTTTCCCATGCACTGGGCTAGCCTCTTCACCGCAGCCGTGTAGCGGCGCTGCTGGCATCATCACTAACTCTGACCCTGGCGAACACAGTGACACCTCCCTCTCGGCGGCTGTTGAATCTTAATGCGGCTTATTCGTGTGATGCGCGCCGTGTGGCTCAAACTACTTTACAGGGAGGGGGGTAATAGCACCCCACAACATTGACACAGTGACACCGTTGCCTATAAGAGGGGTCTTTTGACGGTGAAAAGCCGCACTGCTCCTGATTTGTAATTTTAGTATAGTGTGTATAGGAGGGAATACTTTAAACACGATTGCAGTGATACACCATTGCGAGAGCACAGCTTGATTTTGCTCTTGTTTGGATTTTTCAGCTCTTGTGCGGTGCGAGTCAACACAATCAGTTCCTATGAAAGTATCGTGCTGTATCGGCATTTTTGTGTCTAGTCCTTGAGAAATGTCATCCTAATTTTTTAGTGGCATCTTAGCATTTTTTCAGTGCTAAGGTGATTTGTTTTATTTTATAGGCTCGTGGGATGCTTTACAGTGATATGCTATTGTACTTTGCTATGGTAAGGTGATTTGTCATACTTGTCATGTTATCTTGTAAATTCAGTCAGTACCATTATGTTATTAATAATCAATTCAAATATTTTTAAAAGTAGTTTTATTTGTGCCTCGTTAATTTCATGGACTCTTTGCTCCTTGTGTGTCGGCAATAGGTTGCTGCTGTAAACCGTGATTCTGTTGCTTCAAATGGAAAGTTGACCAGCTTCAGAAGCATGAATTTCGGTTTCCAACTGTTTTTTCTTCTCCAAGTTGCCCAAAAACTAAAAAAAGTCACACCCATCACTGGTCAGCCTGCATTTGCGCAGTTTGTTCAAATATTCAGCCAAACCAGTCAGGGACTGTAGTTGTAAATTGATTGAACGTGTGACGTAACAATGGATTGTCACAAAAATTTACGCTTTGTCTTCCTGTTTAGCTTTGATAAAGTGGGCTGCTGTGATGATAGATTTTGTTGTGAAACATAGTGCCGGCAAGAAAATTTTGTGTGGTTTTGGAAACTGAAATTGTTTGAAATGAAATTTTTAAAGCAGGAATTCCTATTGTGTGCAAATTCATTGACAGCATTCAGTGAGTGTAGCATCAAAGGTGCATGCACTCAGGGGGTGGGTCGCAGAAGTTCTATGACCGACTGGGGCGCACGCACGCTTACAAGCAAGCAAGCACATGTGCATACGCTTGCATGCATGAAATAAAACAAGCCCACATATGTGCATGCACACGCAGTTGCAAAAAAGCAAGCATGCAATATATTTGTGCTGTGATTTAGATCACTAAGCTATTAAAAGTCTTAGGACATTGGATTTAGATTGCCACAAGTGTGACTAACGTAAATTTCTCTGCGTCTTTAATTCTACTTTAAAGCTGTCTTCTCCTTCTGTTTTGGTTGGAAGGTGACATGTTTCAGATCGATCGCTCTCTGCTTGATTTTTTTGTCCGTGAGTCAAGTTGTGAAGCTTCAGAACCCTTTAGAAGTGCAAAGCAGAGTGGGGAATCCGTCGCAACTTATTACATGAAAGTGGCAGCATTTAGGAATCTTGTTGCCACTTTTTTTTCTGTGCTATATTTCTTACAAAGACTAATTTCACTGGTAATGTTACCACCGTACATTTCAAGGTGCTTGTAACAAACTAATCATTAAAATTGGGCTAGCAAAAAGCAACAAAAGGCAGTGCTGCCTGTTTTTGCTTGCTTTTAATGGGAAACAGTATTTACTTTGTTGCCCTGGCTTTTTATGAAGGAAAAAGTAAACTTAAGGGCCAGTTTTCTTTGTTAGACACAATATTAGTGAGAATTAACAGACACCAATGCCAAAGAAAGTATAGAGGATGTTTTTAAAAGTAACTAATGTAAATGTGAAGGAAAAGTGGACAAAATAGATGACTTGCCACCGGCAGGATTCGAACCTACGACCCTCAAATAACTAAGCCGATGCTCTACCACTGAGCTATGGTGGTGGTCATCCCCACATCCACTGTATAGGGTATATGTGGGCATTTAAACATGGAAGTGTCGGTCAGCACTACCTGTTGCCATTAGGGCGAGTGTAGGAACACTCTTTGTGCCTGTTGCATCACGTAGCACGTGATCTTATTACGAGATGGCAGCTGACCAATGCCACTTCATTTGCAATGTTCTAAACTCACTGACCTTAACGCAAAAGCAGGCACAAATGGCACAAAGAGCAAGACTCTTGAATGTGGCAGCAAGCAAGTTGCTTTTGCCAATATGGACATTTCTCATCAAGAGCCACTTTTTGATCTTCAGTTGTGGTCATTCACTTTTCTTTCAATCGTTGGGGGTGAATGCTTAACATTAGTGCACATATCTTCTTCCTTTTTGCTTTGGTTGCACTCTCATTGGTGTGAAAAATGCTTGTGTGTCATTGAGTGGCATCAAACTAACCCAGTTGGTCGAAATTAATGCAGAGCCTCTCTTGCCGTTTGGTTGTCGTTGCTGTAGGATGTTCTTAAAACCCCATGCACCCAGCACATACATATCAAGCTTTTAAGCATTTCAGTTTCGGTGATGAGTGTCTTTTGATATATGACAATTGTATTGTAAAACTGAACACAATCAGAACTTAATATGACTATCTTATGGCCTGTGCAGTATGAAGGCCTCTCCCTATATTCTCCAATTATCCTGTCAATAGCATTTCTTAATTGCGAGATGCAGTGTTGCAATTTCACAGATGCAAACAGTATGCATTTCTTCGTGCATGCACATTATTTGATGGCATTTAACATGATACCTTACTTGCGCTTTTCTTTTGTTCTGAAAAAATGGTCCTTTTATTTTTTCAGCAGGAAGATGAAGTAGCAGCCAGTGTGCGAGAGGTAAACAGAATACTGGGGGAGCCTGAGAATCTGCCCCATGTTGCCGGCATTACTACCACTGTCTGTGGGCCCTCTCGGGCAGAGAAAAGCCTGCTTTCTGTGGATCAGCGCAACCTCAATCCGGAGAATGAGTTGCGGAGAATTTTTGGATCTAGAGTTGTCCAGGCTGAGCAAGCGTGAGTTTTCCCCCCCCCCCCCAACTTTACATTCCGCCACTCACACTCCGTGCTTTTTGTTGTCATAAAATTTTACCTGGGTGACCAGTACTACTGAATTACACCTTTATATTCACCTTTTAGAAATGTTTATTTGGATAAAAGTAGCTATGGTTGTTATATGGCTGATCAATTTGTGTTGATTTAAATGAATTCTAAAACCCGTTTGCTGAATAAGCAATTGTGAGTTGATAGTCAGCGCTGTGTTTTGTCGTATGTTGCCTTAGTAAGTTTTTCTCATTTCATTCGTGCTGTAACATAATGAATTTGAAAGGTTTGCCTTTTTAACAAGATACAATCTCTTGGTCATTTTCCTTTATGATGGCTAATTTTCAAGATGGCTAGTTTTTAGCGAAATATTTTGTTGAACCCACCTATATCGATATTTAAATGCCACTACACGTGCATTGTGATGACTCAGACTGTTGCAATAATGATGATGCAATTGGTGCCCCTCTCCTCATCCTCTCTACTGCTGAATGTATTGACTCTTAACTAAAAAAGACCTTGTTTTATGTACAACTGTGGATGCACAGCTTTGCCTCTGTATTTCATTGACAAGAGTGGCCAACCTATGCTCTCCCTTTGTTCATTTCACGTGCAACAAGTGGTGTTGGGTCTTTTCAAAAGCTGGAATTTCACGGCTTTCATGGCTCCTCTAGCCTCTGCAGCCACCACAGATGACCAGCATGGATTGCAAAATCGTGCTAGCTAGAGAAGGTGCATGCTCACGTGCACTCCCTTGTCAATCTTACGCACACTCATTGGCGGTTGATCCATCAATTGTGGCGTGTCAGTGTGTGTGTTGTGTGTGTGGTGTCAGCGCTTTTTCCTAGTTGCACTAAGTTGTAATTCAGGATGGCAAACAGGAATTCTGTTGTGCCTATAGTGGGCATGAAACTAAATGCACTGGACCCTGTTATAAAGAGAGCAATATTGATGGAACACTTACAGCTGCTAACAACTGCGCGTTGGTGAAGTAGTCTGTCAAAATGATATTGACGATTCTGAAAAACAAGGAAAAGATTCATCTCCCAACGCCAACTCATCGGAAAGAAAGCACTTACGAAAGGCCATCTATGCGGACGTAGGGACCACAATGCTCACTTGGTTCGTCAGTGTACAGGCTCGCTTCATTCAGATAAGAGGTCCAATAATGTTATGCGAGCCAAAGAATTTGCATTCTTTCCAGACTTCTGACCAAGCAGTGGGTGGCTACATTAACTTAAGGTGTGGCATGGGATTGTTTTTAAATTGATTCTCAGTGAGGTTACTTCAGCAAGTGACCGACATGTTGCCACTTAGCTTGAAACCAGCCAAGTTATTATTTGAATATATGCTGAGCAGGATGTGTTTAATGCAGACAAAGCTGCATTACTGTATCTTATGTTTTGATACAAAACGCACACCATGAAAGGTGGCATGTGCACTGGTGGAAAATGCCATAAAGTGCGTTCCTCAACATTTCTGGGAACTAATATGAATCTATTGATGGAATATCTGTGTCATTAACATCATTATGCACCAAAATAGTTCATATGCCCCATCCTGTGTCAAACTACCCCTGTTACGCCAAACTTCTTTATCTGCGCCATACTGCTCCGCAGCACCTGAATTTAGCTGCAAAGTATGACAGCCATCTAGCTTTTGGTTTTTGTCAAAACGATTATGGTTTTGGTTTCAGCGAAGCTGTGATCGGCTATGAATGTTGACTGAAAAAACGCTACGCACTGTAGAAGCAAAAGAAAAAGAAAGGGGGGAAAAAAGCTGAGGCAGCTATATTCTATTAGCCTCGACAGTGCCAGCACTACACCACAATGGTATTTGCTTCTGTTTTCTGTGTGCATCACAGATACCAGAAATACAAGACCAAGAATGGAAGGTGCCCCGCCCCGGTGGTCTAGTGGCTAAGGTACTCGGCTGCTGACCCGCATGTCGCGGGATCGAATCCCGGCTGCGGCGGCTGCATTTTTGATGGAGGCGCAAATGCTGTAGGCCAGTGTGCTAAGATTTGGGTGCATGTTGAAGAACCCCGGGTAGTCGAAATTTCCGGAGCCCTCCACTATGGTGTCTCTCGTAATCATATGGTGGTTTTGGGACATTAAACCCCATGTATCGATCAATCAAGAATGAAATGTGGATATGTGTTGAAAATAGGAATTCTGAAAATGTGCTATTCCTAAAGCTAATAATGTCCCCCCACTCTCAGAATGTCCACCACAAGCAAAAATGTCTAGGGGGAACTGCGCTCTATACATACATATACAGTTAAAACTCAATTTAACTAAGTGTTGGCTACCCCCACATTTTTTTGTTGTTCTAAAAGCTCATAAAACCAGTAAAGGAATTTTTGAGTCCCTAGACATTTAAAATCATACTGTCGCAGCACCCAAAAGCTACTGTGGCATTGTTATTGCTGCTAACCGAAGTCTGTGCATGTGGAAAGTCAGTGTGTGCAGCTTAGACATGAAGTCTTCCATGTCAGGGGGATGTAGACCAGGTACACAGTCATGTCGAGCTATGATAGGCTGCTGATATTCAAAGAAGGAGGGAACGAATGCAGTAATTATGTCAGTAGATAAAGTAAGAAAGTTGCGAGAAGACTATAAGTATCATCGTTTGCATTAACCATGAAATAATGAAAGCAACCACTATAGAACATTGTTGCTGCATTCGCACAGGCGATAACACACTGCTGTCCTAGGCGCCGTCACTCATGTAATAGTGTTGCTGACTATTAAGTCATTTGTTTTGTGTATGGGCATGGTGTGCAGCCTCATCACAGTAAATCTAGCCCCGCAACTGTGGTGGCTATATGCTTCAACTTCACAGTAGAGAGCACTCTCAAAGAAAAAAAGACATCTGCGTATAAATTAGAAAGATATCACTACATTTTATTCATTTATTTCAGGAAAAGATTTGCTAAAGTGGGTTGGGAATCAGCTGCAGCTTCGTTAATTCAGGAGGGGGACATCATTAAGTGCTTTGGGCAGCTGCTGAGGAATGGAAATTTCTTTGTTCGATATTTCATAAAATAGGGTTTTGTTAGATTGAGTTTTAACTCTATTAAATGCTGCGGCATAGATTTTGGTTGACTTAAGGCCAAACCTCATAAGCTCGAAAATGCACGCGACAGCGACGAGCGATGCGGCGTAGATCGTCTTCGCGCGATCAGTCGCTAGCGCAGGCAAAGCTCATTCACGCGACGACTTCGGCGAGTGAACTCCACTGTTGCTGGCATGAGGCCGTCCACTCACACCAAGAAAACCGCGTAGCGAGCGGTATGCAATTTAAAAATGAGATATATTGTTGTGTAATGAAACGGAAAGTGTTTATTATTGCCTTGCAGCACTTTTTTATATGCACATGCGTAATAAACATTGCGTTATTTCTTGTTGCGCATATGTGACTCGGACAGGGTCACGTGCATTTATGTAGTCTTTCTCTTTTCCGGTTTTTCGCTATTGGCTGCTTGAGCCCAGCACTTCCGGGCGATGAGCGACGGTTTCCAAATCTGGAGAACCGAGCAATCGCGCGAAAACGAGCACGCGCATGTCGCGCGAACGCCCTGTTTCGTCGCTCATAGCGTCGCTCGTCGCTGTCGCGTGCATTTTCGCGCTTATAAGGTTTGGCCCTTAATTATCAGTAATTACAAGTCCTGGGAGATGGCAGCAGCTCATTTAACCCAACAAGAATTACACTGTGTGTGTACTGTTTGTATATTGTGTAGGTTTCTCTTTGTCCTATGGGAATATCTGATATACTTGGTCATGATGTCTGATATGTTGCATGAGTACTGGGGTGCGTTCTTTGTTGGGATCCACATTTCTGCCATCATACTCATGCTTAAGCAACTGTCTGAAGTTGATTGTGTAAAAATTAGACTCCTCAAAATATTCGAGCACTCCAATATTCTCACAAATATTGCAGTTTCAAATTCACTTCAATTTGAATTTAAAGTATTTGAAATTTTTAAGTATTCAAAATGAACAAACATGTTCAATTAATCTGCATGTAACCTTCTAATGAAGGTGGTTTCACTGCAGTGAAGGGATGTGATACCGTGAAAACACCTGTCCAGGAAAAATCCGCACTGCCATGAAGCCACATGTAAAGTTTAAATGTGATGTTTTCTCGCGTCCATGTTCTGTTTGCACTGTCCATCATGAACACATTATCCTCACATTGATGAGTTACTTTTAAGTTTGAAAGCTTGTTACATTGGTTTATATGCTCTAAGTGTCATATATTTAACGTAACATATTTTACAGGTTATCACAAATATTCTACAGAAAGTCGATTTCTGCTACTATTTAACATTACTTCCACTTCCTTTGAATCAAAAAGCATGACATTTACACATGCCTGGTTCCAGTTTAAAAAAAAAATATATTGTACAGGTTAGTTGGGTCATGACAATATGCTCGTTTGTTTTGATATGTGATATATACTATATATATGAATTAGATTCATAACTATTCAAGCAAATGGTTATTTGCTTCAAACCTATAATTAGCTATTGGCAAAAGCCTAGTAAAAATATCTGAAAAAAATATTCATAACAATAAAACTGGAAGCAAATGTCATGCTGCTTTTGACAAGATTAAAGCTATTTCAACATTTTGTGGGATAATGGGACTAATCTGTCCCACTTCTTCAGTAAAAGCTTCCTCCTCTACTGCATGTTGAAATCAATGCTTTGATTTTCTCCTGGTGTGTGTAAAAAACATTTAAAAAATGAGAACGAAAAAAATGTTTCTTAAGTTTGATGCATGGTGTCGATGACATTTTGAGTTGAACTTTGTTTTGCTCTTTAGAAATTCTTTTTAAATTGTTGTTCCATTGCATGCCAATAGTTAAAACTTTATATTTATGGTATTTCTGTCTCCTTCTGAATTTTGGAAGTACTTGTAACATGAATCAATAGGCTTTGTTACAAAATTGGAGCAGTAAATTGGCCTATAATCATGTTGAAGTGTATTCGAACAAAAATGAAGCAGTTTCTCGCTAAGCCCAGCTACGAAACAGGCCCTCATAAATGTTATTCTCAAGCTTTATGGGCACTGTTAAGTCGCAAAACACGCTTTTTGATGGAGAATGCCCTGTAATATTTTTCGTGCTTTTTTATGACTACGGTACTAGTGGCAATGATGCCAAAAGCTATGGTTAGGACATTGATACTGGAATTGAGAGCTAAAAGAAAAGAATGGCAAGAGTGATGCTCTAGACAGTCGGGAAGTGACAGAGAACACAAATATGCAAGATCTAAGAGATAAGCGAATACCTCAGACATAGGTTGAGTTTATAAATGCATTTGCAGAATTCAGTGCATTCGGGGACACCACATTGATGTGACTTGCCTTGATTTATAGCCGCAGTTTTGTTCATTTCCGGAAATTCGAGTACAACTGAGGGTTCTTGTCCTTATCTACACTGATAAAAAAAACAGAAAGAAGCTAAAATGTTTGGTGTATGAACAGGCCAGACAAAGCTACCATCACATCACAACAGGTTCCAGCACCCATTGTGTACCACACCCAGAAATTCATTGCTTCGTGTCGGGGTGGCTTTTTTTTTTTTTTTTTTGCACAGTTTATGAAGTGCCTCTCTGTATCACTTACTTCGAACCTTTTCATGTAAGAAAAATTTGGTTACAGCTTGGTGCGCACATAAGGCAATAGGAGAGGTGATTTGATTTGATATGTGAGGTTTAACGTCCCAAAACCACCGTATGATTATGAGAGACACCGTAGTGGAGGGCTCCGGAAATTTCGACCACCTGGGGTTCTTTAACGTGCACCCAAATCTGAGCACACGGGCCTACAACATTTCCGCCTCCATCGGAAATGCAGCCGCCGCAGCCGGGTTTCGAACCCGCGACATGCGGGTCAGCAGCCGAGTACGTTAGCCACTAGACCACCGCGGCGGGGCAATGGGAGAGGTGTTGTCCCACTTTTTCAAAGACCTTTCATTGGTCAAAGGAACACATACGTCCCATTTTTTCCATGTGAACTAATGGTTGTGTTTTGGTGAAAATTGCCTCATGCTATTTCTAAGTGCATTATTTGGATATTTTGCAGGCATATTTTTTGTTATCATGTGAAAACTATGTATATGAACCCACAAAGGATTAAATGTTCAAGCTGTGAGGTTGTGGACACTAATCTAAATGTGATGATGTAAATTTTTCAGGAAACGACGTGGAAGAGGACATTTCTATGGTCGAACAGCTGTTCTGGTCCCTAGCAGGAACTGGTACCACGGTGTGAAACCTGGTAGGTACATTCTTTGTTTGTTCTTTATGTATTTGTTTACTGATTTAGTATACCTTGAAAGCCCCCTTTCAGAGGAATTCACATGAGGAAATGCTAATTGCTGTTTTTACAGCATAGACGAATATTGTTAGGGCATTCCATTCGTTCTGGGCATTCAGGAATAGCTGCATGCTGCTTTTCCCCATTAGAGTGTGTATTACATTAAGTTTCACTTTTTGATATAAGTGCTATTGTATACTGTTAGTGCTTAAAACAAAAGGTAAAAGATTTGAAATGCTATTACTGCAGAAGAGCTGCATGCATCTGTCCCTGAATGCATAGAAAGGTAGAAAATGCAAAAACAGTGTGTAATTGTTATCGAGCAAAATGTATGAATTTGGACAAACCCTGCTGCTTACCACTGGTCTGCCAGAAATGAAATGGTCCACAGACAAAAACCTATGTGCCACAGAGATGGGGCAATTCTCACTACTCAAAAAAAAAAAAAAAGAAATCAAGGGAACGCATGGACGTCAAACACCAATGTCTGTGCCACACAAGTTGGCCAAGTACCATTACTCAACATCAGTTGACTGAAAATTTCTAGTCTTGTTTAAAATGCAATGATCATGGCTCAACATTTTTGGTAGAACACAGTTACGCTTGCATGAAGTTGCAGGATATTGAAAAGAACTAAGCTTACGAAAGTTCATTTATGCAATTTTTTTAGTGCACTTAATGCAGTACTTGTTGTGATTTCTCTACAGACATCAGGTGAGCTGCCATGGTAAGGCAGCTTGCATCATGTACCAGGGCATATTGCCCCACATATCTTTGTGCTATGTTTGAGCAAAAGCTTGTCATGAGGAAGTCGACAAGTGTGGCTCAAGCAGAGAGGAAATGCGCCAGCTGTCTTCTGTCGTGTGAAAGGTCCTTGGGAGGTCTAGGAGGGAAGAGCAGCATAGCTCTGGCAGAATATGCATACTTTGAGTGGCTGTACACAGTTGCGCGGTTCCTGTCTTGACGGGGGACTGGCAGACGACTCATACCTTTGTATGTGCTGTGTTTTTGCTACGTAGATTTTGTTGAAATGATAAAGAGCACGAATGTTGCTTCGCTTCTTGCAGAGGCCGCATTTTCTTCTCCACCATTGTGTTGAATTATGCTAGGACTGTTGCCAAAGGAGTTCACTGCTAACCTTACTTCATGTCGCATTAAAATTTGCTTCTGTTGCATTCATTCTTTGTAGCAAAACCTATCTTGTTTTTTTACTCATGTCAGTATGTCAGCTTATGAGAGATGTTTTTGCATTTCTCTAATCTTCCATCTGTACAGGAACATTCAGTGGAATAAATGCTACATTAAGTGGAATAAATGCTGACTTTTAGTATTTACCTAACCAAAATTTTGAGACAGCACACTGTTTCACTTGAATAGTAAATATTTGTAACATATAGGCCATCATTTCCAATAGCATTACTTTTTTTTTGCTTTACAGTTTCTTTTTTTAGATGTGTAAGCTTTTGGGCTAGTTCGTAGGTTTCGGCGGGCTTCAAGTTATTGGTACATTAGGAAATATTCCACAGGTGTTTTCGCTCTGTAATATGAATGGCAATGCAACCTGCAATGGAGCACGCAGAGACAAAGCTATTAGTATTACTATAGTTAATTAACTGTTGTTAAATTTAAGGTAGCAGGCTGCATTAGTCAACTGGTGACAATTGTGTTTTTGTGCACTCATCATGCTGTAGTGACACTTTTCAAGCACTTGTAGTCTTCTCTTTCTCTAAAAGAAAAAGTAAAGATATGCAATAGTAATAATAAAAAATAAATAAAAGAGACAGAACTATACAGTGATAGAAGTGCTGCTTCAGTTGCTCTGAACAGTGTTTAATTCTTGTTGGTAACTGCTCCAAAACTACTCTGAATTGGCGCTAGGAAACCGAAAGCAATGAACTTCAATCATACGATCATCCAGTGAGCTTAAACAATACTGAAAACAACCTGTGTTCTATCATCCTAGTTGCCACTCTCATGCACCTGTAGCGGCAAGAACGGCAGCAACACTGGCTTGAGGGGCGCGAGCCCGCCTGCCTTTCTCTTGCACACCCACTTGCTCACTCTCACTTAAGAGTCGCCGGAGCTACAAACGCGCTTCACGCTTTGGCGGCGGCGGGGCAACCGTGGAAGATGCAGCCTCGTGCGAAAATGACAAAATCTGGGGCAAAATTTCTAGATTGTCCGTGGCAGAAATTTGTTATACAATCGATCTCAGATATATCATATTGACTATATCGAACAGTTGAAAAATTATCTTGAATTTTGCATGCAAAAGTATAAGATTGGTGCACCCGTATATTGAATTCCTGCACAGCGGGACATACACTATATCGAACGCTGCATCATGCCGAACACCAGAAAGTGAATTTTTCCTAGCAAATATTGATCGATTTTAGGCCGCGTTCTAACAAGTTTTGATCGCTTTGAGTGTGCAGGTGACAAAAAGGTGGTATTATTCCATCACGCTGATCTGGTTCATTGCGGGGCGCTTGCGAGTGCACCGGTATGTTTGATGCATGGTCTGCAGGTCGTAACGCGCTGGCATAGTGGTTTTCACAAAAACTGGTTGCGGATGACACCAAATGAGAATGCGAAGTGATTCGGCGATCTCGTTGCAACGTTCGCATTCCCTTCTTTGTTTGTCAGCGCACAATGGCACACTAGCCTGAAAAGTATGCCCTTCGAGATGTGCAATCTTGTGGTGTATCTTTGGTGTTTTCGGTTTTAAAATGCATGTCTTGGAGACTACGCTTTTTCTAGCTTTTTGCATCAAAGCAGCTGAAAGCAACGGCTGCCAGCTACAAAAGCGCAAGTGACGTGGATATCGCCAACATGTTGACTGTGGAAACTCGACGTTGACATTTGCACTCTATAGACTTGTGATCTTCTCGCCTCGTTCCTGATAAATCCTGATTCGGTAGTTGAACTGAATGGTGACCACATAGCGATAAAAATTATGACTGGTTCGTAGAGCGACGTCAAGTAAAGCACCTTCGTCAAATAAAGCACCGCAACTTTCCTTGCGGGCCAGGGGACGACTGTGGGTGCGTCATGACCGCTGGCGCACGGTGCCTCGGTGAATTCTGCAACTTATCAGCGTTTCCGGCCATCATCTTGTACAGTGAGTGACTTATCGGTGCATATGACAACGTAGCTGTTTCTGACTGCATCGATAGTGAGATCATGGCGGCCGTGTTCAGTGCCGTGGAAGTGTACCCGTGCGGTTGTGAATATGTCAATGCTATCGCTGCGGCTGCTAACCCACCTTTTGCGCACTACAAAGCTTTCATCGACGTACTGCGTCACGCTGTTGAGGCCGAAGGAGCTGAATTTACTTATTTGAAAAGCTTCAATGATACCGAGGTTGACTGGAACTTGTCAGTGCGCAAGAAGCAAGGCAAGTTTACGGACTCTTTTTCATGCGAAATAAAGTGCAGTAACTTGCAGTACACACCTTGTTCTTCATTATACTGTGAGCGAATCATGATGTTAGCGCGTGTAACGGTTTCAGAGGCCTTAAATGCTTTAATTTAGGTCTTAAATATACATATTTTGTATTTCGAATCATTTATATATCGAACTATTTTGTGATCCCCTTCAAGTTCGATATATCCGGGATCGACTGTATCAAGGTTGTCTCCCCCTGTTACTTTGTTACATAGAGGTCGCAAATGCATGTGCTTTTATGGAGTAATGGCGGGGAATAGAAAAACTTCGTTATACAGTTGACCCCGGATATACCAAACTCGAAGCAGATCGGAAAATAGTTCAATATATGGATAATTTGAAATACAAAATATGCGTATTTAAGGTCTAAATTAAAGCATTGCAGATCTTGAAAACCCTTACAAGTGCTAGCATAACGATTTACTCACAGTATAATGAAGAACAAAGCGTGAACTCCAAAGTACCGTACTTTATTTTGCATGAAATTAGTCCGTAAACTTGTCATACTTTTTGCGCACTGTCAAGTTCCAGTCACCCTCAATGTCACTGAGGCTTTTTAAATAAGCGAATTCAGCTCCTTCGACCACAAAATTGTTGATTGACACAGTACACCGATGCAAGCTTTGAAGTGCGGCAAAAGGTTGGTCAGGGGCGGCAGCGAAGGCGTTGGCATGTTCATAACTACAGCGGCACGCTTCCGTTTGTTGTTATGTTACCATCATCCGCACCGATGAAATCGCTCACTGTTCCGAGATGGTGCCTGGGAACGCTAAGTCGCAGAATTTACTGAAGCACCGTACACCGTTGTCACCAGTCATGATGCACACGAAGTCGTCACCTGACCCGCAAAGAAAGTTTACAACGGTGCTTTACTTGACGCTGCTCCAAGCGCTAGTCATAATTCTTATCGCTACGTACGGGCGAACGTTGATTTCAACTCCCGAATGAAGATTTATGACGAACGAGGCAAGTATGCAAGTCCACAAGGTGCAAAAGAAAACGGCGAGTTCCCATTATTGACATGTTGGCGATATTGATGTCACTTGCGGCTTCGTTGCTGGAAGCCGCTGCTTTCAGCTGGTTTGATGCAAAAATCTAGAAAAAGCGTAGCCTTCGAGACGTGCGCTTTATAACCGAAAACACTAAAGGTCACAAGGTTTCACATCTCAAAGGCCATGCTTTTTAGACTCTCATGCCATTGAGTGGCAACAAACAAGGAAATGCGAACATTGCAATGAGATCTCCGAGTCACTTCGCATTCTTGCTTTAGTGTCAACAAGTGGTCTTTTTTAAAAACACTATGCTAGCGGGATTAGACCTGCAGATCGTGCATCAAACATACCGGTGGTACATTCGCAGTGCACTCGCCAGTGCCGCGCAACGAACCAGATCAGCGCTATGGAATGACATCGCCTTTTCTTTACCTGCTCTGGAAAATGGATCAAAACTTGTTTGAATGGGCTGAAAATTGATGAGTATTTGCTAGAAAAAATGCATTTTCTGGGCCTTGGTGCATTGCAGCGTTCGATATAGCGGATGTCCCACTGTGCAGGAAGGATACTTTTGCATGGGAAATTCAAGGGAATCTTTCAACTGTTGGATATAGCCAATAATTCAATAGATTTGAGTTTGATATATCCGTGATCCATTGTATAGAGGAATTTGTTATGTGAAGGTTCATCATAGGCAGGTAACGGTATGTTGATTGTTTGGCACGTTTACATCACTTGAGATGAGTGCACAAAATGGCATAGGATGGATGCTAAGCTTTAATAGCAGGCAGGGCAAACAACATTTTCTCTTAATATCATTTGATTAAAATGACATCACATTGGCCATGTGATACGGTAGCGCACCTGCCACACGAAACGTGGTGTGCTGCTACGTATTTCTCATATTTTGTGTGTAACAGTCTTACATGCTTTATTGCTTGTTGTGTGTTTGCAGATGCCTCATCTGAAAATACACTGCAAGCATAAAAGTGTTTATAAAACAGCTGCTGCCTTCATAAGCGGCAGTCGTGGCGGGGACGAAGGCAGCAGTTGGCATGTGCAAGTCAAAACTTTTCATTTGGGTGAACCTGTGCCCTTAAAATAAAAACTAAAACTACAAAAATACACACAGTACACTGATAGTGATGAATAAAGCATTGGCCGTCAATAAAATGATCTCCGTAAGGTGCATTGGTATTTATACATGCGACATCGAAAGTCCTAGTGTTGTCACTGGTGCTCGTGCAAGCTCTGAAAAAACCTTGACTATTCGCGTCCTCGCCCCGCCGCGGTGGTCTAGTGGCTAAGGTACTTGGCTGCTGACCCGCAGGTTGCGGGTTCGAATCCCGGCTACGGTGGCTGCATTTCCGATGAAGGCGGAAATGTAGGCCCGTGTGCTCAGATTTGGGCGCGCGTTAATGAACCCCAGGTGGTCAAAATTTCCGGAGCCCTCCACTACGGCACCTCTCATAATCATACAGTGGTTTTGGGACGTTAAGCCCCACAAATCAATTATTCACGTCCTGCTCCAAAAACATCAAATGCTGCTCTAAACTAACCTTTTTCAGCTCTGAATTTGCTCCAAAAAGCAGAACGTTGCTTCCATCACTGACAGTGATTGAAGTGCTGCTCCAATTGCTACCAACAGCTCCGAAAGGGAAATGCTGCTCCAAACAATAATGTTTGTTACTAATCGCTCTAAGCCTGCTCCGAAATGGAACTGAATGGAGAATGAGAATGATGAACCTGTACCATCTTGCCAGCTTGTAAGTTCTGAAGAAACTTAAAAGCGAAGAGGGCTCGCCGTGAAATACTGAGGGCTTGCAGACACATCTCTTGTGCATATGTAATGTATATATACTCGCACTTGAGTATGCTACTAGTGTGCAGCATTATTGGCTCTTATCTCATTTATGTGACACGAATCGGCATATTAAGCAAATACCTAATTTTGCAGTTTTTTGTTTTTTTTAGCTAGACATGCAGGCTATTGTAGTGGAATGTGTAAATGAGCAGGATTGCTTTTAACTCACACCAGTTATCTACTGCATATTTGGCAACAGTTATGTGGTACTGTGCTTACTTCTAAAATGTGGTGCTCAGTTTTACTGGTTTGATTTGATTTCTGCTAGAAATACTAGTATTTTTTTAACTAGTCATCTTTTTAATTGTTTGCTTCTTGAAATTTACATGCATTGCTGTATTTGAATATAATTAATAATAAATATTAATATTTATTAGATGTTTCGATGATGCTTTGAAATCCAATAGGTGTATGTCTAGTATTGTATCTGCTCCAAAAATCCCAATAGCTGTCCCAAATTAACATTTTTTTTTTCTCTCAGAAAAGGCTTATGGCTGCTCCAAAACAGTACTTTTTCTGCTCTAAAGTATGCTTCAAAAAGTGAAAAGATATTTGCATCACTGCATCAAGCATGTTATCCAAAGGTTCCAGGTTTGGTCTCTGCCAGTGGCAACAATTTTCGACCACTTTACATATCTGTATCACAATTACTACAGTACACCTGAAGCAGTACAATTAAAGTCCCCGATACCTTCCTTGGCTTTATTATTTGTTATTTTTATTAAGGTTTTGTCAAACAAAAAACAAGCTCTCAAAATTTCCTTCTGTGATTCTCTCACATGTAGGTGTTGTTTCTGGGAGTTTCCTCATTTCTTGAAGCGGCATTTGAATCCCGTGGAGACAAGTTTGTGCAATGCTTACCCTTTGAGCACAGTCAAAAAAGGATGCAGTGCTCCTTCACCCCACAATGCACAGAAGGCACTAATGCTACGTTCATCAACTCTGACATGGCACATTAAACAGCATCACAAGCAGATCGTCAACAAGCACATGTTTATTAAACCCATGATGTTGCACAGGGCAATAGTCACATTGTGTGCAACAGACTGTTCAACACAGGACTCTTTCTGTATGTGTGCCTGCTAAGCTGTCGACTTACCAAAGGACTGGGCTATCGAGTGTGCAAGCAAGAAGTCATAGAGCAAAGCTTCAGTGTCATTGCAGGCCTGTGAGCACCTGTGTGCTGTGATAGAGCAGCCAGGCTGAAGAAACCTTGGGTGGAGATAGAGCTCAAGGTCTGTCACGGTCGTCAATCAGGGTGCATTGCAATGATACATACTAACTTAGAGGCTTGACAAGGTAAAGAAGAAGCACAGTTTGCGCAGGAAAGCTAGTCCAATGCATTGGCCATTTGTGGACTGCAGTTCCCATCGCTTGCGCTTAATTCCCCAGCTTGCGCAAAATGTGCAAGCTGGGGAATTAAGCGGTAGGGAAGATAGTTTAATCCCCACAATCCCCAGAAAAAGCAGAAGATGGACGTATCTTAAGTGCCCTTGACAGACTTTTGAGACATAGATGTAAGAAATACCGAAAATGCAGCGGCTCAAGTATGGAGGAGATATTCTCCAGCTTATCATGGTAACGGTCATAGGGCTGGCATCCTGCCTAGTGTCATTTCCCTTGGCAGCCGAGTTGGTGATGAAAGTAGCAGGATGTTAAAGATGCGGAAGCACACTCCTGTGATCTACTAGTCCATTCATTTGCTGTTCATAAACTTGGGGGAGTGGAATGAATATTTGATATAAGTTCTCTTCCATGGTTTTCGATGGGACATTGAAGTGCATTTTTTGCCATTCCACAACCCCATCCAGTTTTATCTACAAGAATTAATTATATATTGTGACTTCTGCTTACTGCCACTTTACAAATTTTCGTATGTCTTTCTTTGCATGCGCTGAAACAAGGAATAAACATGGAGCTTCTAGAGACAGAGGGTGACGTTCACTTCTTCACTTTTGAACACACAAAATCCTACCAGGCAATCCAGTTTCAATTCTTGGATGCCGTTGAAACATTCAACCCGGACAACATAGTGGTGAGCTGTTTTCACGTGTGTGTCTGTGTTGTGTGTTGTGTGTCTGTTATATTTGAAAATAAGGGATAAAAGTTATGACTCATTGTGTTTTCTTTCTTCTTGTGCATTATTGCTTTCCTCTTAGGAATTCAAGCTGATATGTCTGGCTCTTAGAGGTTCCAGCAACAAACTTCTGAGGACACCATTATTTTTTGTTTGTGTGGCACGCGTGAAATGGTGATAAAGGGAATTGGATATGGATAATGATTAAAGCTACTAGATCTACAGTGAGAACTAACAGGTGATGATGCCAGGGAAAGTATAGAGGAGGTATTAGAAGTAATTGTAGTGTAAATGTAAAGAAAGCAAATTGGACGAAAAGATCAACTTGCTACCGGCAGGATCCGAACCTGCGACCTTCCGGATCCTGCCGGTGGCAAGTTATCTTTTCGTCCACTTTTCTTCCTTTACAATTGCATTAAAATTACTTCTACTAACATTCCCTATACTTTTCCTGGCATTATTGTCTGCTAGTTCTCATTAATATTGTCTAATAAATAAAATAAGCCCATAAATATACACTTTCTCTTAAATCTTGGTTACTTTGGAAGGCGTGTGCAAAATTTTAAAAGGCCAGTCAACAGGCTCCGTCTGTTTTTTCACCCCCCCCCAAAATAAGCTCGGTAATTCGTAGAGTAGACCGCAGCAATCATGTTTTCCAAACATTACAGTGCTGCGCACCGCACACAGCCTCCATTTTGAAGAACAATTCCCACGCTCCTTTCCTACATCTCGTCATTCCTCCTCTCACGCGCTGGGACGTAAAGTCACCGATCAGCAACTTGACGTAGCACGTGGCTCGTCGATTGGTCTAAACCAGTCACAACGACGGGCTATGCCTTCTTCTCCCAAGAAGCGAGAAAGATGGCAAGACCGCACAAAAATTTGAAACCAATATTTTAATCTCTGTAACTTTCTAATGCATAATTAATATAGCACATATTTGCAAAATTCTTGTGGCAGCATGTTCACAAAGCAAAAGTGCACAAATTTCTTTTTATAACAATTTTTGAACCTCTGGGTTGTTAATTTGCCCTTCAAACATAATTTTTCTGTCTGCAAACTGTCTCAGTCCTGTCTTATAACTTAAAAAGGATTCTTCATTGACTATTTTCTCTTGTTGCAAAACTTCTGTAGTATGACTCTGTATAAATTTTGTTGTAGAACTTTATATCCTCTTCATGTGCATGTAAGGATGAACTGTTTATAACTGCATCAAATTTGCACAACTGCTTTCAAGGCACTTTATATCATAGTGCAATGAAGACAAGGCGGTAGTGTTAATTTGCATATTTTATATAAATAACCTAGAGTTATAAAACTTTCAAGTTAGCTTTTGGACTAATTCATTATATTTTTCTATAATACAGCATGTATGCAAGGACGTAATATGAGACAGGCAACACTATGATGCACAACAAAATAAAAATAAAAGTGTCTGTGTGTAGTGCCAATTGAACATCTTGTAACTGTTTCCTGATAATAGAGAAGCTGAACTGGAGGTGTTTTTGTAGTTGCATTTCCTTTCTTTCTCTCCCCTCTCCTTTTTTTTTTAAGATCTTCTAGAGGGAAAATTGTCGTCCACCCAGTTGTAGTGTGAAGCTGCAGGGGAAAATCGTGTCAGTTTCAGAAAGGAAGTTTTAAAATGACACATCCTTTGACATTTTTATTGTCCTTAACACATTTAGCATTTGAGTGGTGTTGCTCCTGTGATTAATTGATAGATTCATTATCGAATATATTTTGCAAGTTTCTTTAATGGTATGTGGTTATGAACAATGCATCACTCATTAGAAGTGTCAGTGGAGAGAACTGAAATTTCACTACCAAAAAGAAATGCATCGTGTATGAGCCATGTACTGCAGCAATGCTCCTCTATTGTGATTACCTCTGGTAACCCTAGAGGTTGCAGTGCATGTGAAAGGCGCCTCCTTTTGCATGACTTCCAAGAGTATTCTGGCGAGAATGCTGAAGATATTATATCATTGTCCAATCTTTGCTACGGGATGCAATTGTTCAATTTGCTACAGGATGCACCTGTACTGAAAAATCTTCTTTTTTATTAGGAACACCACCAGAGTAAAGCATCTAAAAACAGTTGTAAAGCTAGGAAAACAGGCTAGGAATGCGGATCATACCAGAAGCTTTGCAGTGAGAAGTGAGATGAAACGTGAGACAAACACCAGAAGGGCTAGTAGAGCAAAGTGTAGCTGTTTTACTACTCATTGTTCCTTTATAACTTCGTGCACCTGTTGGGCTGATGACAATTTTTTCTTTTGCGAATCTTCTTCTTTCACCTTCAGGCCTTTCAGAACATTTTTTGCAACGTTGTTATCCAAAAAAGCAAAAAAAAAATTTTTTTTTTTTTGATAGAAGCAAAGCACATTTTTAGAAGTAGACATAGAGTTGAGTCCACCTATAACAGTACTGGTTTTAACAATATGTCGGATATAACAGTGGACAGTTGCAGCACTGTCAGCTTTTCATCGTATTCTATGGTAAAATAAACTGCTTATAACAATGCTAGTATGATGCAATATCGGTTATAAAAATTAAATGTGGGCACCAAGACCAATCTTGAACGAAACAAAAATGCAAAAACGCCGCGACAATGCCACCCCAACCCTGCCTATTGCGCAAAAGGGTGTGAGAGCATAAGCGCAGCGGCCAGTGGATAGCGCTCTTGGTCTCGCACGCGGCGAGTGCATGCTGAAGAGGCTTGCATGCCACCGCTGCTTTTGCCTGCCGCGGCGATGCAGAGGAGGGGGAGGAGGACTGGATGGGCGTCTCTACGGGCAGTAGGGCAGTCTAATCTGAGGGTGCACTGCCTGTAGAAAAATTATTGGGGCCCCTAAGCAGCCGCAGGAGCAGCACTGTGTGCACTGTGCCATGAGCAGAAGTCGGCTCCTCCACCATCGTGAATTGCTTCTGTGAGGTGGGCTTTGCTGGGGATTCTATTGAGGTGTAAGTGGAAGGCCATGACGCTCCTGCCAATGCAGAAATGACCGAACTTTGGTCATCGACAAACGGTGGTGATGCAGGTGCATCGGGACTTGGGGAGTTTTTGCACGCCGGCGATAAAGTAACAACAAATGAGGACCTCACCGCCAAGGTGATCGTCGCTGCGGTCACGGGTGTGGAAGACGACAGCAGTGACGAGGAGGAGGAACCAGAACCCATGCAGGTTGTGTCGCGTCAGGAAGCGTTGCAAATGGTCAACTCCCTGCACGATTTTGTGTTTTCTATAAACCTTCTGCTCGGCCACCCGCAGTAGTTGGACGCTGTGCAAAAAGATGTAAATAGAATAGCCAGTAAGCAGTTGAAGCTGACTGCTTACGGTTTTCTACCTGCTAAAAAGTGAAAAGTGTAAGCAACTTCCCCCTCATTAAGTGCTCTTATCATGTTCCCCTCATTAAAGCCTTTTGTTGTGAGGTCTTTGTTATTTTTCGCATAACCCACTTATGACAATAATCGGTTATAACCGTGATATTTTGATGGCACCTGAATATTTTTATAAGTGGACTTGACTGTATTCAGAAAATACTTGGTATTTGAACTTCATTACCATCCACAATTGCTACTATGTTAAGAATCTTATGCCATTGCGTGTCAAGATATCTGTCTGACATTGTGGTTGTGGGGGAACGCCCAGAGAGGCAGTCAGAGTTGTCCTGAAGACCATGACAAACAGTGGTAGAGGTAGGTTACTTGATCACAGCCAGTGGACTCAATGGAGTCATCGCAATATTACAAAAATGAGGAATGCCTCAGTAGTTCTATTCATGTTACTTCCAACTTGATTAATGCTGCCCTCTCAACCCCCCCCTTCCCCCTTTTTTTCAGGCATTATTAAACCAACATCCATATCATGTGGATTCCTTGATTCAGTTCAGTGACGTTTGCAAGATGAGTGAGGATCTTCAAATGGCTGCTGAGCTTATAGGTGAGTTTTTGTCAAATGGCTACTTGAAGCAGTCGTTATGCTTTATCAGGGTGTCTACCGACCAGGAAAACCGGGAATTTTTGGGGATATCTTACGGTCTGGAAAAACTTCGCGAAGGAAATTCTGCTGCCATCAGGGAAATTCACTGCAACTTCATTTTAAGAGAATGAAAGCCTCGATAGTGCTGGCTTGATGTTTTGTGAACACATTTTTCTAGGCTCGTGCAAATATTCAAGTGAATATTACAGCATTTGAATTCGTTTTGATTTGAATATAAGTGAATGAAAATTTAGCAAAATTAACAGATAAATTTAATTAATCCACATGTAATTCTTGTAAAGGCGGTTTCACTGCACTGGGATATGCTAGGCTGTGAAAGCACTTGTCTAAATGTATTAGTTCACATGTAATGTTTTTGTAAAAGTGGTTTCGCTGTAGTTAAGGGTTGCTAAGCCATAAAAATGCCCATCCAGGGGAAATGTGCACTGCTGCGAAGTTCTACTTCGGAGTTAAATGAACATATTACTTTTACATCGATTCATCAACTTTTAATTTTAAAAGCTTGCTATACCAGCTTTATGCATTAAAACTTTAAAACAACATGTTTTACAGTTAATTCCTCGCACTCTAATGGAAGTCAAACCCTGGAACTATTCAGTTGTTTCCACTTCCTTTGGACCCAAAAAATGCATTTGCCCATGTGTTGTTTCAATTTTTTAAAATATTGTAGATGTTAGTTAGGTCATGACAAATATGCCCATTTTTCTTTATAATATTTGAAATATACTATTTGAATTTGATTAGAAATTATTTGACCAAAATCACCATTGTCTTCGAACCTAAAAATTATTATTCACAGAAGTCTACATTTTTCAAATCATGTGGCCCCTGTGACTGCAGGAAAGGGTGCACTTTGTTGCTCTCTTCAACTTTGGAGTGACGAAATCGGAGAGCATCCTGCTCATGCGTGGCATGGGGGAACCATGAGCCATGGCACATTGTATCGTGCGCTGTTATTTAGGTGTTTGGTGAGAACATAGAACAGTTATGCATTCGTTGTAGTGCATACTGTGCGTTAGCACCCGATATGATGTTTTGGCTATCGCTGCATAACTAGTAACAAGTATGAGCAGTCGTAGAGGTGGTATCAGATGTAAAGAGCTCTCAGTTAGCAAAGGATCACGATTGTTCAGTAAGCGGATGTTCTCTACAAGGCTGGTATCTTGGAAGTAGTTCCGGTCAACGCGAAAACAAATGCCGCCATTTGTTGGTGGATACTGGAACGCATTTTTCAAATGTCACAGTTTTGGTCGCAAGCCCACGGCAAGTCATCTTTTTTTCCATTTTTCTTTCTTCACATTTACATTACATTTACTAACGACATTCCCTATACTTTTTTGGTAGTGTTTGTTAATTCTCAGTTATATATATATGATATATAACATACATAAGTATATACACACACACACACACGCTAGGCACTTTTGAAGTCAGAATGTTGACATTTAACATCATAGTATGCTGGCAGGGTTGTCCACGATGCTGTAATACGAAATCGTTTTATGATTGATTCTATGCTTGGAAACTCATTTATGGAAGTGCTTCACTGTTCTATATGAACTTGAAAATAAACTTCTTAGTTTTAGTTTGTATATGAAAAAAATGCATGTTGTCCGCGGATACAATTCGTGTAGATGCGACACAACGGCACACACACAAAAAATATTCTAATACGTCACCACCGTGCACACGCATAGCACTTTCCGTACGGCTGGCACAGCAAAACCGTGGGCTCATGCACCAGACGGCAGCTCGCCATGAGGCACGCATACCTTGCCGGCTCTGACGCAAGAACACGTGTGCACATGCAGAATGCACAACACACGATGCACGTGGTGGTTTCTGAAGCTCCTTGCTTTTACTTAGTTGTGACAAGCATCAGCTTGTATCATCCGTAGAAGTCTTTGTTCTGTCACTTGAACACCTTGGCCTGGTAGCGTCGGCGGCGAACCTGGGGACGTGACGGTTGAACTGTCGATGACCGAGGGGTTTATACGCTGGTTTTGTCTGAGTCATGAAAGCGGTGCAACTGGAGCTCCTGCCTGTAACAAACCTAGCCAACCACGTTATGTGGACCCCTGTTGAAGTGCTGCCATCTTCGCCGATGTAGTGGCACCTTCGGCGACCTGTACGGAGGCGATGGCGCCTTATCTCCTTTTGGGGTCAAGGTCCAGCCTGATATCGGCGATTCTAGTCGCGCCTTAGGCCATGGTGTGGGTGATAGCCGTCGTGTTTCACATGGGGTTGGCTTTTCTTGGTGTCTTGTCGCGCACTCCATCCGATAATCACAGTTTGCCGCAGCAGGACTCCTCTCCCTCGATTCTGGTTCATATGCCTGTGGTCGGTCTATTAGGGGTACCCGGTGTCGTCTACCACGGCGTGTTGTAGACGTCGTGGGCATCACTTGCTCAGCGTTCCTGCAGCTTCTTCGACTATCGGCCTTGCTTTGATTTGCTATCGAAGTGTCTTGCGACACTGCCCCGGGGAGGTGCTCAACGACCACATCATACAGGGAATCTCTCATGCACAAAGTACGAACCTCTCCTCTAGGGAATGGGGTGTCCAGGAAAAGCAGATTCCGGGAGGTAGCGCACTGTGCGATCCAGCAATAAGACCGGTCTGTAGTTGCCAGTTAATCTTTCTTTTGGTTCTATTGCCTGTCCGACAACGACCATGTCGCAGCCAGTATCGCGCAGCACGGTAACCAGCCGCTTGTCTAGAAATCCTTCCTCCACTGGCACATTTTTGATTTCTTGCGATAAAACGCCGCTGCTGACTGCGGTATTGACGACGGGAATCCCCTCTCCATCCTTGAGAACAAGGAATCTTTCATTCCCTGGAGATCCTTCTGGTGTGCGGTCTACTGCAACTATGCACAACGCTTCACTTTCCCCCTCTCCTCGGGTGACGAACTTCTCCCCGTTAGGACACAATTTCTCGCCTCTCCAACCCTGGTCTCCGTAATCTCTTTAGTGCGCGTCCAACACTCGGCTGCCTTATGCCCCTTTTTGTCGCATAGGAAACAGGGATTGCCTCCCCAAGGTGTCTTTTTTGTCTGATCCATTCTCCAACTGGAGCCTTGGGGAGACTCCTTCTCAGGCCGCTCTCTATCAAAGTTCAGCAGTGACTGAGCATCGACCAAATTGTCGGCTGCCTGAGAGAGTTCCTGCATGCTTCAGCAGTTTCTTTCCTTCGAGAAAACTCTTAAAGGAGGGGAGCATTCCTTGATACTCGGAAAGCATTAGCTCTCTGAGGCCCTGAAAGCTTTTCTCGACTTCCCCAAGCTCCAACCAATGATCGAAGTACCCTGAGAGTCTCGATGTGTACTGCTTGGCGGTTTCCCCATCTTCGGGCCTCCTGTTACGGAATTTATCTCGGTACCCATCTGCCGTGTACAGAAACTGTTGCGAGAGTGCCCAGTTTAACGTGTCGTAATCCAAGGCACCAGTCTGGTCCATTCGTTCGATGACCGTCAATGCTTCCCTAGTCATACATAGACTCAAGGAGAGCGCCCACTTCTCTTTTGGCCATTCCTGACAGGTGGCAGTACATTTGAAACATTGTAGGTACACGTTTATGTCGTCTTTTTTGTCATTGAACGGAGGTATTAGTTTATGGGGACTACACATGTTGGACGCAACGAACGCATTCGTGCTCAAAGCATTAACGTCATGGGCTGCTTGTGGACTAGCGGCCCTTTCTTGAAGCCGAAGCTTCAACTCAAGCACCTTCATCTCTTGTTCTGGCAGCTTTTGTTGCGGATCCATTTTCTCGCGAGCTGCCTCACGTTCTTGTTTCATTAACTGCTGCTTCCATGCCATTTCCTCTTTCAGAGCATTTCGCTCTTTGGCACGCTCATCGCGTATCTTCGGCACGCTCATCACGGCACGCTCATCGCATAACCGTATACGCTCCTGTTCTCCCATGCCCTCAATTCTGCATCCTTCAGTCCTAGCTCTTTTCCAATGCTGGCAACGTTGTCATTATCCATGCCTCACTCCTGTGTTTGAGCATTGGCTACCAATGTAATTAGCTAATCCTGGCAAGGCTCGCCACTTGTGGCAGGTTCGTGTGGGCCCAGGTGCCCAAACGACAAGAGATGCGACGTAAGCAATGACAGCACATTTATACAACATGGACACATTATATAGAGTATTTACAGTGTTATAAATGATTATCAAAATTTCTTGCAGCACAATTATCCCAATATGGTTGATTGGGGTGAGTTGGCGAGTCGGTGCGTCTAAGCAGTGCGTTCTCATTTCAAAACAATTATCCCAACGCTTCTATAGCCTCCAGAACATGGTTCTCGCGGCCCTGACCCAGCGCAGCTATTTCACACACCATTCGCACGTCACTGTCGACAAGATGGTTCGACGTGTCGCCGAGTCTCGTTGAGGTTGTGGTGCTACGGTGTGGTTCTACCACGACAGTCACTGGGACGGCCGCTTCGCTGTAGCGTGGCTGTAGCGTGGCGTAACGAGCAACACCAGGCACTGTCGTCGCCCGGCGTTGCTCATCGTCCGAGTTCGCCTTTAGTCCACACTTGAGAGATTCGGCGCCGCAACGAACCGGTAGCTGTTGCAACCCTCATTCTCTTCTGCTGTCCGACTGCCTCAACCTTCTTGGCTTCTCGAGCATTCCAACGCCCTTAGTCTTCTTGCCGAACCCCCACGAGCGGCGCCGCCACGCACGACACTCATTTTGGTCCTCTTCTCTAGTCTTCTAAAAGCGCGGTTTTTTTAATTTTCATCCACTCATCCCAATGTCCACACTGAATAGCATCCAGAAACCAATCTATTTGCAGCTGCATGCAGAAATGAGAAAGCTCTGGGTTTGCCTCAATTGTTGCTGCGGGTGTCATTACTGACAATGAACTTGATAGCTGGGGCAACTGGATTTTACTTTACTGAAAATGTGCCCTGTGAGATGAGATGGCCTTTGAATACAAGTGTAATAATAATAATTTTTAGGGCTTTACATACCAAAACTGTGTTATGTGAGACTGCATATTGGAGGGCTCTGCAAATTTCCATTGCCTAGACTTTGCATTTGTTGCATTCCAGGCCAAAGCTCTCATTGGAACAAAGAAAACTGCTCGTTAGCACAAAGGTTGTTCAGGGCTGCCCAAATGAACAGTTTGTCATTTTCTTGAGTGGCTATCTATGAACAGTAGTTTTCTCATCATAAACTGCATCATATATCGGACCTTACCGATCTTATTAACTTTTAATCAAATCAGTAAATCATGATCTCCCAGTTCCAAGTTGTACTTTTCAAGACTTTCATTTATGGGCTTTCTTTGTTGCGAAAAAAAAAATGCCTGTCTGTAAACTTATCTCAATTTGTGAAGCTGAGTTCTAGATGCAGGTACTTTACAGTTACCATTATTTTTATTATTATGAGTTCTTGAACTTATATTCAACTTCACTTCACACTACACCTGTATGTATGGAAAACTCCTTTTCAGAGCAATTTTTTTTTTCTAATATTTTATGTTCACTCTGTAAATCTTACAGTAGTATTTGAAACAGTATGCTACGCACAAAACTTCAGAAGCATAAGATGCATTACACTATTCAAATGATTGCTTGGATTCATTCTATTAAGTTTTTCAAGTTGTTCAATTTACTGTGGCATTCTTCTATCCCATATTGTATGTGCATTATTCTTCCATGTGTACAGCTCAAACAGCCTTGACAGGCGAAATTGCATTGATGCATATTTTACTTGATTTCAGAGCGAGCCCTCTATTTCATGGAAACATGCTTTCACTCGCTCTTCAATGTCACACAAGGCAACTGTCGACTTGATTATCGCCGCAGTGAGAACAGATCGTTTTTTCTGGCTCTCTTCAAGCATTTAAACTTTGTGGGGCAGCGTGGCTGCTCACGAACTGCACTTGAATTTTGCAAGGTGCTCTTGGGGTGAGAATTTTGAACTGAACAAATTTAGTTTTTGTTGGCATAATGTTTTAGGGGGAATTGATATTGTCGTGGCAAAGAGTTAAGCTTAAGAGTTAAGATAAAAGTTAAGCTTGCTGTCTGTGAGATAGCCATATTTGATGCAATGGACTACTTGAGAACATATCTCTTTCTCTTTTGGAGGATGCTGTATTTCTGCTACAAGCTAAATGATTCTGTTAATCAACTGAGTGGAAATTTAAGAACACTGTTTTAAAAGAAAAATGGCTTTTTATGTTACCATCATCATATTAATCTGCTGACTGAAACATGTCAGGCACTCAACACATGCCAAAAACCTGAATATAATGAAATTGACTAGTTGCCGAAAAAATTTTTTATAAAGAAGATTTCGTTATGTGCAAATATGGTACAAATATTCCAAAAACAAACACACAAATTAACAAAAGAAGAAATGGAAGCAGATCTGAGCCAAAACAGTGATAAAAACTGTGTTTTTATTGTAATAGCGACGACATAAATAATAAATAAATAAAAAGAAACCCGGAGTGCATATAGATTTCTTTAGAGGCTTTATAGCACTCATTCGTGGCACGGCACATTACAATAATTCACAGCTACAAGCAACACTAAGGCAAAGTTATTTGACTGCAGGAACCGTGGTATGATGATGATGAGCCCACACGGATGCAATACCTTTTGGCAACAGATACAGATCTCAAAGACTATGCACATATCTGTGCATGTGTGTGCAGAAACAGAACTATAGTGTAACCATGTATATACATGCCCTGGTCATGTGATGGCTCACAATTTGTGATGACTCGGCTTGTTCCCAACAAAAACTACCATAGAAATAATGTACTTTTTTTTAATATTCATTATGTGATCCAATTTCACGCTGACCGAGCTTTGTGCGATAGCTGTCTGGTATTGCCAGAGAACAAAATGCTGTATATTTTAGCGCACACTCAGTTTTTCTGAGTTAGACCCATTTAGTGGATGGGCTTGTTGTTACATTTGAAATTATGTTACGTGGAAGCAAAACATGGATCTAATTGGTGTGTGATACCATGTGACCGATGCCCTTTCATTTCTTTTATGTATGCGGGCACATGCTTATTCAGTGCAAAACTATTGTGTGTGTTGCAGTATTTTTAAACATTTTTTATTATGAGGTAGGAAAGAAATAAAGTATTTTTGAATAAGTCAATTTAAAACATATGATTCGATTACATACGTGCTCAGAAAAATTGAATTCAATAGTGTGGTTATGTAGTTGGCTGTTACTTTTAAATAACAAGGAAAAAAAACAAGATGAAACTGTTTACCACCTGAGTCACTAATTGAATTTTGTATTTCTGAGGGCTTTTTGTAGAGCTCTGGAAATTGATTGTGCACATTCGCTTTTCAGCATCATTTTTTATTGTAACTTCAGTGTTAAGTCTCCATTGTGTCAGCGATCTACAATATGGCCTTTTCAGCAAATTAATTTTCATTGTTGTAGGCTTGACCCAGACACTGACCCATTATGTGTGACACTGCTCCTGGACTACTATGCTATCCGGGCTGAGCAGTACCAGTACCTCGTGCGACTGTACCGGGAGTGGGATGCCGAACGCAATCTTTGCCAACTGCCAAATTTTGCCTTCTCTGTGCCCCTTGCCCTCTTCCACATGGCACAGGCTGGTGCCAGTGAAGACACTGTGTCATCTGCGGAGCTAGAAGCCGACAAAATGGTGTGTCTAGCATACTACCTCTGTCTGGAACCTTCTGTTATGTCATTATTTAAAGACAACAAGCAGATTTTACGGTCTACATGGTGCTTTTATGCTGCCTACTAAGGGCCTGTAACTGTTCTTATTCATGGCGCTTATTCATAGTTCTTTATAATTTTTATGTAAGCTGCAGTTTCCCGGCCTTGATGCTAAAAACAAGCTACAAATTAATTGCACTTTTCAAGCAATTCTCTGGCAAATTTTCTTGCAGAAAAAAATTGTTAAAATCAGATAAAGGGTTCACATTAAAATCTTTCTAAAGCAAGTCAAATATAGCCAATTTTTTTTTTAAGCAAGTCAAATATAGCCAATTTTGGTGGAAAATGATGTGTGTTCAGTGCCTTTGCTGTACACTAATAGCCATTAAGCCAGAGGCTACTGCCATTGGAATCATTTCTCTAGGCATCATAGTAGTTGAGCCTGTTTAGGATGATTGGAAAAGTTTGAATTATCCATCAAAGGCAAATATCAGCATTAAAATAGAGAAAGCTAGGTCCTGTAGGTATGTATTGATGCTTACTGGGGCCTTCATTCAAAATCAAATTAACTGAAGGTATATAAACAGAAGTGTGCTTTACCATTTGCACGAACTTCTGCTGCATATCTTTACTCTGATGGCTGTATCATAGTTACAGGCAGAGATTTTCACACCACAGAACTAAACTCGTAACGCGGCTGAATGAGTGCACAGGAAAGGCTATATAACACTTCTAGTCTTGAAAGGCACTCTGTTATTTTACACGCATTCCAGGCAATCAATTTAAGAGCAGCTGTAACAGTTGGATACCTACAAAATTTGCAAGCCTAGGTCCCTCATATCACTTATCAACAATGTTGTTACCACAAGCAAGACAATGTGCTAAAAATCCAATTTAGCGGGCTCCCTTAGGACCGTGAAATTGTCTGAAAAATCGGGCAGCCCGAAATCGCTCTTATGAATGCATCCAGTTCCTGCCAGGAATCCTGCTTAACGTGCTTATCGTAAATTGTACACTTGCATCTCATTGACGAGGGCTGCTGATACTGGTGAAGTGTGGAAAAAATTGCGGTTCTTTTTCATGGTTTATTTTGAAACGATGACACGAAACAGTTACTTTAGCGGGAAAGCGACAACTCGTTTGGCATGCCCCAATGCCTATGTACATGTAAATGGCATGTTATTGTACATGTCTTCACCGCTTAATAATACACAGAGTTTGCTGCTGCTTCGAGCCAATCATTCTTAGTTGTGTGCAGCACATCGCCTACAGAGCCTATCCCTCCAGTACCGTCATCACCTGTCAATGCCAGAGTTCTTGTGATATCATCTGCACGCATTTGCCGTAAGAGCGTTTACTGCTCCTACTCCATTCCTCACTGAACTGGAACACGTAGCTTTCGGCTTTGAAAGTAGTGTGCCTGCACGAGGTCAAATCTATTACCGGGCACTTTGCTGAAAATGCTTATCATGATAGGGTATTCAGCGATTAAGTCAAATCCCACTAAGGTGTATCGTGTTTGATGCCTGCCACCATCACTCATCTCCCGAGTACAGTGGCAAACAGGGGCCAACCTGCTGAATCTCCTGCCTTTGCTTTTTCTCTCTCTCTGACAAGGCTCGCTGCGGTGGTCTAGTGGCTAAGGTTCTCTGCTGCTGACCCGCAGGTCGCGAGGTCAAATCCCGGCTGCGGCGGCTGCATTTTCGATGGAGGCAAAAATGCTGTAAGCCCGTGTGCTTAGATTTGGGTGCACGTTATAGAACCCCAGGTAGTAAAAATTTCCGGAGCCCTCCACTACGGCATTTCTCATAATCATATATAGTAGACTCGTGATAATTCAACTCTGATAATTCATACTTTCAGCTAATTCAAACAAATTTAATTTTTTGATTGGCCTTCTATTCTTTCAATGTATTCAAACATGTATTCAATGTATTCATTATTGTTAATTCAAACTCCATCATTTGGTTGATTCGTACTTTTTGCAGTTCCATACCAGAAAAAAAAAAAAAAAAACCTGCTGCTTTCCCAATACTATTTAAAAGTTAGGGTGCTTATGTAATCCTAACAGTCTAAAAATGAAAAATAAGCAACTCGGGCCTTCAAGAAAAAAGGCTTTGTTAGTAAACAAATGTTTGAGACAAAGCATGTACATCGACAACCGTGACGCTTTTCAACTGGTACAGAGAGCTTTGTGCTGAAGGCACATACCTGTAGTAAAGAAGCATTTGGCAATTCACAATTTATTTAAAAGGTCTGATCAGCAGTAAATGGCCAATAAACTTGTGGACCTTACACCTCTGCTTTCTGTTCATTCTGTGCAGAGGGGTTTAAAAAGACTTTAAAAAAATTTTAATTTGTGGTGTCACCTCACCCAGAATCATTTGAGAATTGATAATTCAAACTTCTTGATAATTCAAACAAAATTCAAAGGTCTCTTTGAGTTTGAATTATTGAGAGTCGACTGTAGTGGTTTCGGGACGTTAAACCTCACATATGAATCAATATTTTTCTCTGATGAATGGAATCTGCAACAGTTGTGAATGGATTGAATCGCAAAATTGCTGTTTCGAGCCTGAGTGGTGATCGACGTGGCTGCACTGGGTGCTTCAATTAGGGCTGTTCGGTACCCGTATGAAAAATTGGTCACCAAAGAGCATCAATGTCTGAAAATTGAGACATTCTCGTACATCGTATAGAGTTTGTGGCAGTTCTGAGAAAGCATCCCTTCAAGCATTTCTGAAAAATCGACACTTGACTGTATTAAAGTGCTGTAGTGTTAGTTCAACCTTATATGCAAGCTATAGCTGCAGGTAAATCGTTTTAGCCTGGAAGAGGCCTCAGAAATGTGTTTGGATAATAGGGAATACCACAGAACATGTGCATACTTTTTTTGGAGTTAGTAGCATCGCTGCAAGAAACTCCAAGCATTTCCTAAGAATTAGTCGGCCACTCAAATTCAAGTCCTCATTCCAAGCGCTGAGGTATCCTGAATAAAATGAGAATATCTATTTCTTTGCTGACAGAGATGACTTACAGGATACATGCCTTGTAAGCAGCGTTCATTCTCGAACAACTAATGTTTTCATCCAGAATAAGTGAGGAAGCTTTGTGTTTAGTACTACTGCCTCTACAGCTACTCAGGTTTGTCAGTGGTCATGCAGTGACACAAAAACAGCAACTCTGACGCTAGCACAATGCCCACGCGGATGTAGGAAAAAACGTCCCCAGAATTTACGAACCCGGAAGATACGTACCCTGAATAAACGTCCCAGGGAGAGACTTCCCCTCTGGCATTGCTGTCTAGGAAAAAAAAGTCCCCAGGTGAAAATTAACCGAGCAACGAATCAAGTGCGAACTCGCTCTACAAAAAACTGCAATCTTTATTCGAAACCTCACGAATTTGTCCTGCATACATATAACCGCCCAGGCACAGCTTTGTGCCTTTCTTGTTCGATTTCATTGTCTCCATTCTCCAAATAAGTACCATTAAGTCAATCACAGGGCATGTATCAAATGAGCTCCCGAAAGCGTACACTTACATTGGGAGTGCTGGTTTGACCAAACTGCTGCCTCCAGCCCCGCCGCGGTGGTCTAGTGGCTAAGGTACTCGGCTGCTGGCCCGCAGGTCGCGGGTTCAAATCCCGGCTGCGGCGGCTGCATTTCCGATGGAGGCGGAAATGTAGGCCCGTGTGCTCAGATTTGAGTGCACGTTCAAGAACCCCAGGTGGTCGAAATTTCCGGAGCCCTCCACTACGGCGTCTCTCATAATCAAATGGTGGTTTTGGGACGTTAAACCCCACATATCAATCAAATCAATCAAACTGCCGCCTCCAAATGAAATGCATGCGCGCTGAACTGCCACCCCCTTTAGGTCTTTCCAAGCACGTGCACAGCTAGATAACACGTATTTAACATGCACATTGTATGTGATATTGCATCTGACATTGCACTTATAAGTTCGGACAGTGGGTATGTTGCTTAGTCAATAATCTTTCAGGAAACTGATATCTTTGCGCACGTCCTTTTTTTTATTTTCTTTCTTTGAGAAATAAAGAGCTGTAGACAGAAAGGCGCGACATTCGACGGTGTCTATATGAGGGCATTTTTTCCGGCAACGCAAATGCGGACATTTTTTTTTTTCAGGGACATTTATTCAGGGTGTGTATCTTCCAAGGACATTTTTTTTCAGGGGACGTTTTTTTCCGAAACCCACGCACATGCAGCACAGAATATAGAGCTGAGGCGGAGACCGTGTTTTTTTTTTTTTTTTCCTTTTGGCATGTCACAATGTTGTATAGTTAATCCTATCATACCGTTAATGGACTGCAATGCTCTTGTATGTGACTGCTAAGCACAGCAATTATATATAAAGGCATTTCTTATTCCTACATGTAGCAATAAGGACAATAATATAACATGCATTAAACGTGCACATAACCGTACAGAACGCCAGTCCTATTTATGGAAAGAGGGTGTCTTATAGTGTCTAAATTTAGGAAATTAGCACACTTTTCCTTGAGTATGTATATTTTTGTTATCGTATTTACTTGAACTCAGACCGAACCCGATTCTAAGCCCACCTTCTGAAGTCGGAAGCTCTGGGCAAAAAAACTTACCTCGAATGTAGGCCGAATGAAACAACGAAGACAGCATTTATAAAAAGAAAACATTTATTGAGCACGAAGATGAAACAAAGCAGTTTGTTCATGATGCAAATAACTCAAGAAAGGTACAGCTGCCAGTCCTGTTGTGTTTTTTTTTGTCGTCGTTTTTTTTTGCGCTGCTTGTACTTTGATGCCGTACTCATTCTGAGTCGTCGTTGCTGGCTACAAACAGTGCGCAATCCTAGGTGACATCAAGAGCATTGGATAGGCCGCACTTCTTAGAAGAGTGCACAATCAAAATTCCCAGGTTGTTGTCCCAAGTTGCAGCCCCTCCAGCGACACAAATTTTTTTCGTTCACTCCAAAGTGCTGCCCGGCTTGAAAGTTGGACAGCGACTCCGCGGCTAGGACAACTTTCCTTTTATAAGCGGCTCTATGATGACACTGCCTGTTTGGCGCCATTGAGCTACGCCACATGCAGACCACTCGAAGCGCAACTCGAAATGACAAACGGTTAACCTTAACACTCACCACAAAGATCAAAATGGCGGCCTCACGTGTGTACTTAGGCCAGAGTTATTCAATCATATGAGTTGCAAAACTCCCCATAAGCTTTGTGTATCGAAATCTAGACACATCATTGCCCCCCCCCCCCCCCTTTCCATAGTGAGCAGATTGTTGCGCCACCTATCGATTATGACACCCACTATTAAACACAATATTTGTGTATTGTGTTGCCACTCTTAGGTGGCACGACAGTCGGCTAACTCCTGAAAAATGGGCCAACAACGTGTCCAGATTTCGGAACGTAGTTTCGCAACTGGTATGATTGAATAACTCTGAACTTAAAGGGGCCTTGAAACACTTTTTCAAGTAACCATAAAATGAATCCATTGGAAGACCTTATTGCCTCACGAAATCAACGCCGCAAAAATAATAAGAATCCATCCAGTGCGAGTAGAGTTACAAAGTTTTCTCTCATGCTGCAATTGCATTCTCTCTTCTCTCGTCCAGACGAAAGTGCTGGAAGCTAAGCAGGGAGGGATGGCAGGGGCAAAGAAAAACTAGTGATTTTTTAGCGTATTTCGTGATTAGTTGAGAAAAGAAAAAGCAATTTTTAGCGGACTTTGATTGTGAATTTCGGGCCGCGTGCTGCGCTATAATATTTGGCTCGCGTGTTGACGGGAGCTTCTACTACCGATCGGCAGCGTTTTCTGACCATGCTCAAAAAGTGTTGCAGGCACCTTTCAGCCAGTTGTTGGCTCGGCTACAAACGGCTATAATTTCATCTTCGTGGCGCTAGTTGTGCACCACTTTTCTCAATGAAAAATGGTGCATTTTTTAAAATCCTTGAATTTAGGGTGACACTGAAATTTGATGCAAAGAAATTTGAAAAAAAAACTATCGTCCTAGATTTGAATACTTATGATAAGCCTCAACAAAAAACATCTGTGAAAGAATAACATGAGCCAAGTAGCAGCAACTTGGCCTTTTATTAGTGCGTGTATTCTAAACTCTTAGTAATAATTTTTGGTGTTTTACATCCCAAAAATACAATTATGAGGGACATCATAAGAAATTCCACCACGGCCGGGATTCAATCCTGCAACCTTCAGGTCAGCAGTCCAGCACCATCCTAGATCCTTACTACTATATGTGAAAATATAATACATTATTGTTGTACTGTATATTTTCCTAGCTTAAAAATTGTGTCGTACATTTTTTACTGTTGTGTGTAGAAAAGTAGCGCTGCCTTTGGGTGACATGCTTTAACATGTCCGGTTTTTATAGTGACGGGAATGAGCATTGCCATTATCCATTGAAACAGCGCAGTTAGATGCTTGTTGATACGAATTTATGTTTTTCTTTTACAATAGATAATAATTCCCAAATTAGTGGTTCAAGTAAAGTAATGACGTAGTGCCTAATGCAAGCATCGTGATTTTGGTGCAAATACTACAAAGAATTTAAGTGCGACCTTTTTCTTTTCAAATATTCAATATGTAAATGTTCAGTGTGTATGATATTTCACTGAAATATAACAAAATGATAGTTTTTTGATAAAAGGATTTACAAATATATATAAATTGTTTTCCTATCCTTCTTTAGTGTCTTTTGAACTATATTTTTGGTAGTGCCTTTTTCAGAGAGCAGGCTGCATTTTCATCTCAAATAGCATTGTGTTAAGTGGGAGTGGTGAGAATAATGTCATGGCACAACTGAAGCATTATGTGATTTCTTGTGGCCATATACATGCCAGAGTAAGTCAGTAAGTGAGTGAAAATGGTGAGAAGTTATGGCTTGGTTTAGTTTAGAATATATGTGCAATTTCACTACAGCTGCAAGAATCCCTGATCATGTTCCCTGGTGTACTCAAGCCACTGCTGGACAAGTGTGGTGTGCAGCCAGACAGTGAAGTGGCCAAGCACACATTTTTTTCTGCCACAGCACAGGCACAGTGAGTGCATTATATTCTTTTTTTTAATTCATGTTGGGATTAGCGTAACGATTCTATCTGCATATATAATAATGTAGCTTATGCTTCCATGTCTGTATGATCAGTCTTCTTTGATCCTTGATTAATATTTTGTGGATTGGAACACTTGAGGGATGAAGCAAAAATACACAGACTGCTAGTATATGTGCCGGCACCACCTGATGATGAGATGCACTGGGGTGCAACAACTGCGCCAAAACGCTGAAATTGCACCACGCTGCGCCAAAATGGCCAACCAGCCTCAAAATTTTCGCATTTTCACTAATTTCAGCGAGAAACGGAGGCCATGTTAGTCAACTGCAGTTTCGCTATCAATCAATTGAAACGCGCGGACCCTAATCCGAAATTGGGCACTCGCGAGACGCAATCGACCAAATAAAGTAACAACGCCGTGCGCCCATCGGTGTGCTGACCGCAGCGGATACCTATCTGCAGACTGACGCAATTTCAAGATGAAAATGCGTTACCATAGCCGCCAACACTTCGCGGGAAATATGAAATTCCTAAGCAAACATGGCTCTGGCATGTTAGCAACTCGTGCTGGAAGCGCATGCTGCATTTTCCACGTGTGAACAGTCGACGTGCTGCGAACGCCGGCGTTTCCAGCGACCACGTTGGTGGCCATAGCAATGGCACATAAAACATTTTTCTGTCAAAGTTGCATTAGATGCATCGTCCCGGTGATAGATATCTAGTGATAGCAATGCGCCTTGCAAGCGAGCCGAGAAGTTGGGCCCTAAACCTAACTCCATTCTGAAAAAAATCACAGCATATCCACGAAATCAATGATGATGAGTGGGGCGAAGCATCCGTCAATCCGTCCGTGCTTCTGTCCGTGCAGTCATACGTGTGTCCGTTTGTGTGTCTACCTGTGTGTGCATTTGTTTGTCCATCCGTGTGTCTGTATGTGCGTCTGTCCGTCCATCTAGTGAACACTTCACATACCGCCATCTCGCTTCTTTTTATAATATATTCATCATATACAAGTACTGCCATCCAGTGGACAATCCAAGGACTAAACGAGAGTATGTACCACATTTCTGCTGTTAGCGTTTTGTTAACACTGAGAGCGTGATAACGACGCTATGTTTTTTGTAACATGTGGACATGCAGATATGTGCCTGAGGGCGAGTATGTGCCACTGGTATGTGGGTATGTGCCACAGGTTACACACTACAACAATGGGGGACACACAAGCCACGCCATAAGGAGCTTCACCCTTAACAAAGGGGGAAGGGGTGTAGCGGTGTTTGAAAATTTCATGACCTTACAACAGTACCCTGCGAAAAAGCGTACCATGATTTAGAAAGCGCTGTTAGCACTAGTCACAGGACAGGGTACATTTTCTTCAATTACTCATTCGTGTATATGCCACATGTGAGTACTAGTATGATCATTGACATCTGAAAAAAATACTGGCAGTCATTTGGAACAGTGTAGAACATTATGCCACCCTTCTATGCCAGTTTCTTTTCTTTTTTTTCTCGCCATTCCTACTTTTCAGTTTCATAATACTGTAAAAACCGGAATATAGTCGGCCCCTAAACATTGAATCTCCAAAAAAGATCACAGAGTATCACAGAGGATCACAGAGTATCGCAGTGCACCGTGATACTCTGTGATCCTTCGTAAATATGCGGCACAACCAGCTGCACTGTGGTAACATTTCTGTTTTATTTTGACACTATTCTTATGTAGTTAAATGCCAGAAGACCACAAAGTGTTTCTATTACTAGTGTATTGTTCCTTCTCTGTCCTTATTGTTACCTTTTTGTTAACTCTTTCGTTACCACGCCTATTCAAATGGATCACTTGTGATTAATGCTTTAGATCGTCAATTTTGTTTCTCGCGCACCCAGAACTTTCTGGTAGTTAGTCCAGCTATTCAGGTTTCAGAATTGCCCCGCCGCAGTGGTTTAGTGGCTAAGGTATTCGGTTGCTGACCCACAGGCCGTGGGAACGAATCCCGACTGCGGCGCCTCCATTTTCGATGTAGATGAAAATGCTGTAGGCCTGTGTGCTCAGATTTGGGTGTACGTTGAAGAACCTCAGGTGGTCAGAATTTTCAGAGCCCTCCACTACGGCATCTCATAATCATATGGTGGGTTTTAGGGCGTTAAAGGCCAACTTCAACGAAATTTTACTTGGACGGAAATGGCCATAAATACGTAGTATATATACGGTAAGTTAGGATAACGATTGTGAAAAATGATTCTGAAAAATCTTGTCGTCGCGTATTTAATTTATAATAAGATCTAGCGGTGTGCCCAGGAAAATTGTACAGAACCGGATGTGACGATTACTACAGAACATCGCTGCGTCGCTCCTTGTGAGCAAAGCAATCCTCCTCGCTGCTGAATCACTCTTTCCTGCGTTGAAACCACTTTCAATGCAGCGCATTTGAAACGCGTCTGTGCATTTGTGCTGCCTTGGCACCACCTAAAGACGGCGCGTTCAAAACTCGTTTGTGTTGCATTGAAGTCGATGGCAGGTCAAGTTCAAGTCGAGCAGCGTTTCTGAATACGAAGGAGACACTGTAAACCCAACAGTGGGGCGCCCGAACCAGCGTTTGATAAAAGACATGTTCACGCAGCTTTCTTAAGTTAACATAGGAAAAAAAAAACACGCACAAGGGGGTGCGTCCGCGATGCGCATGCTCGAGGAGCACGGAGCAGACGATTTTTTCGTCCTTCACGTCACTTCCAGTCAGCCGTAATGGCATCGTTTTTTCTAGTTTCACCATTGTTTGCAAGCTTTTTTCTAAGGTAAGCACTTGTACTTTGAAGGCGACACTTGGAAGGCAGCACTACCGCTAGCTAGACTACCTATATATTCACTTTTTGTGTAATGCCAAATTTCCTTGCTGTTGGCCTTTAAACCCCATATATCAATCAAATTAGCTTTAAAAAATCAATCTGAATTTGTTTTGGCAACGTAGTGAAAAAAATATTTCCAAAGGTCCGCCGCATGTATAAAGTGTGGAGGTGGCCTTCTCATCCAGTTTTCAGCAGCTTTGGTTTCGCTTGCATTGTTATACAGTTAAACCTGGATATAACGAAATTGATATTCCCGGAAAAATTTATTATAAAGAGGATTTCGTTATATGCTGGTTCGGTACGAAAATTTGGAAAATAAACGCACAAATTAAACAAAAGGGGACTGAAGGCAGAGCTAACTCGAAACTCTTATTTTACAGTAAAAACTGTGTTACTATTGCGATAGCAATTATATAAACGCCCTCGGGGGGTTTTTGCTGTCGCCGCCATGTTCCGTAACAAGTCCGAATTGATAACGCGCCCCCGCGCATCGTAACTTTCATGAGCGGGTGAAAGCGCGCGAGCGCTGCTGAAGCAGAGATCAAATGAGTCAGCCGGTCCCTATCGACTGGAAAGTGCATATCTCCTGCGTGTAAGAACTGCCGTCGTAAGCTCAAAGAGAAAGTAAACCACCTGTCTTAATGTGTTAAGGGGGCAGACTGCTCTTAGACATTTTTTGTTTATTTCTTCAGTGATCTTGATCAAACTGTACAGAATTATGCAGTTTTTTCTGCTGATTTCAAATTTTTATTTAGCTTTCCTGTAACTCGTTTTATTCCTGAGATAACTTAAGTTCATCCCCTATTGTTTAAGGCTGTCATACAAAAAAGTGCTGAACTAAAAGTGATGTTTAAAATATCCCAACATAGACTAATGACTATTGATTGAAAAAATGCAAGAGTTTTTTTTTTAATCCTTTCTTAATTTTTTACAGCAAAATGAACTATTCATGTTCAAAAGCAGTTTAAATCGTGTTAAAACTTTTATGAGTAATTAATTAAAAAGGCTTGTTCTCTAAATTCTGCTCCCATACTTGCACCCTACACACATACAGGTTTCCATTGCAAAAAGAATTATTAATGTACCTGCCGTAACTGCAGAGATATTGAGGCCTCAAAATTGAACTGTTGTAAATTTACTTCTTTGAGAAAAATGGAAAAAACTGAAAACACACAGCTTCTTCAAAAACCGACAATCATGATGTGCATGTTTTGCAATCTTCATAAAAGTGCTCATGAATTCGTAGCAGAGCTTCCAACACAGGTGCCGGCAAATTAGAAAAAGGCCTCGAAGTTAGTTCCCCATTTTTTTGGAGATTCTGCATGTAAACAGCACCAAGAATCTGGACAGTTAGAATGACATTACAAAAAAATTACCACTTCCTGGTGTGTGAAAATTTGCAGAGAGATAGCGAAATACTTGCAGATACCAAATATGTCAATGTTAAAAAACAATTTTTTTTGTCACTTTTTGGTCCCAAAGAGCAGTCTGCCCCCTTAAACGAGCATGAAACAACGTAAAGGGGGGGGGGGGGGGGAATCGCTTGAGTAGCAATGATGAACTTGTATTTTAAAGGCGGTCGCGATCGCTGGCGTGCTTGCTATCTCGGCGAGTATCAGTAGTGTGGTTTTAATGCGAAGGGACTGTGTGAAAATAGCGACGTGATCTTTGTGCGCCCCGCAAACGCAATCGCTTCGGTCAAAGTCAAAGGCGCACGATTCTCCCCACCAAAGTATAAGCATGCGCACTCTCCCCCTGCCCGCATTTGTGGAGCGAAATACGCATGGGAAATAAGCGCGTCATGGCGCATCGTGACGAGCTGAGCGCCGAGCGCGGGCGGCCTTTTTTTTTTGTTTGTTTCTTGAGTTTTCATATATATAGGTACATATACATATAAGGTGAAGGAAGGTGGCGGCAGCAAAAAAAAAAAAAAACAGCCGAGACTGTCCATACACAATAAAAAAAAGCAAAGCTCAATGTCGTCGGGGGGACACACCATGCACGCGCAGTGAAACTATGCACACGTGCACGGCATCGAAAACGAAATGCGGAGACAGAGACAGACACGGATATCGGGGAATACTATTAGGTAAAGCGCCCTTCGTATGCTGCGCGGCCGCACAGATGTGACGTTAACTAAAAACGTGGCACTGCCAATGCGCAAAAGAGTTTTTTTTATTTTAGGAGAGGGGGAGGGGGGCACACCCACGCATGCGACCGCGCCGGTGAGAATGGAGGCAACACCTGCTCTGTGGGGTACAGGCCCGCTTGCCCGCCTCACACGGACGCGGGCCACATGCCCGCCACCGCCACTTCGCGCTTTGGCGGCGACGGGGCAGCCGCAGAAGATGCATGCTCTTAGAAAAATGCCAAAATGCGGAGCGAAATTCCCAGATTGTCCGTGGAGAAAATTCGTTATATCAAGGTTGTCTCCCACAGTTACTTTGTTTCATCGAGGTTGCAAATACATGTGCTCCTATGGAGCGACGGCGGGGAATAAAAAACTTCGTTATATCGAGGAATTTGCTATATGGAGGTTCCTTATAAACAAGTTTGACTGTCTCGAGCACAGGGCCGCATTAAGTGTCGCTAGGCGTCAGCGTCTCGTGTGCAAGCGTGTATGGGTACAAACTTGCGTCACGAGAGATGCACTCCGTCAGAAACTATCATGCAGCTGCATCTAAATTGAATGACGACGACGTCAAAGCTCGAGGATGGCAGCATTTCAGCTTCAAATTTTATGGTGATGATGTTTTGCGTCAGCCTGAAGCATCTGCAGCCATTCATGGGTTTGTTTTCTCTATGGCCTCAAGTTGTCTCCTCCACCGTAAGTGCGTAGCTGCTGACCTTCGTGCACAATCTTATTGCTACTCTGGTTACCTGCAAGGTCCATACGTCGCCGGGGCGCGATGTGCTGGTGCCGGCTGCAGAGCTTCTAAAAACATGAAGGCCACCGGAGCACATCTTGGCCGTGACTATGGAGCAGCACGAAACATTTTAGAACTATGTGCGATGTTGTTGTTTTTTTCATAAATATGATGTGCAAAAATCCAAAGAAATATGCTGGGACACACACATTGGAATGCCAACCTATGGAGGGTGAGGTGGCTCATAGAAAGAGGTGACGCTAGACGAAATAGTGAAGTTCACTGGACATCTGGTTTATTGAGTGGTTATTCACATTAAGGGCATTCAGCTGTATTGGAACGTCTGCAGTTCTTTATCACAAATGAACAAAAATTTACTGGGAAAAATGTACGAGTTCACTTGTGTCTCACGAAAAACCAAGCAATGCTTCACCGCATGGCATGCACATTGAAGCAGCACCTCGGTTCCAATTTTCTTTGTCTATGTGAATAGAAAAATTTTTTACATTTGTTATTTTTTATATATACTGTTTCTGGGTAATTTATCTTCAAAATATATGTTCTGAATTGTCTTTCTTTTGGATATTTTTGCATATAAAATTTTTTTATTGTACTGTTTACCAGCTGGTAACCAAAAATTACATGCTTTTCACACTATTATTTATTTCAGAATATCTTTGTTGCTCTACAACATATATTTTTGGAAAGAGCATTGCATTGTGCAATATTTGGTATACTGCAATACGGGCTGGAGTACTTTTCAAACTGGCAAAAACTAATCTTCATGAGGCATATGAAAGATAACCATTTTAGTGGGGCAATGAAAGAGTTAAGTACTGTCGTTTTCCTTTCGTTATGCAGCACCAACTGGCCCAATGTTGTTCACTGCTCTAGTGGAAAAAAGACTTTGATAAATGATTTAGAACGCTTACATATGTGGTCTTTTAAACATACTAGTTCCGATTTATTTTTTTTTCTAATTGTGAGTGAGCGCGTGAACGACAAGGTACGTTCACACTGTTTCTGCTTCCATCGCGCAATGGCATCAGAGTTTCAAGTTGTGGTGTGCTCTGTTGACCCGATAGACTATTGGCTTGATGGCCTTCGAAATATCCCATGTCGCAGCTCATGTTTGACCATTGAATCAACAGAATATCGGTTGGAAGGCCTTCTAAACGCCCGTGTGACATGGGTATAAAAAAGGAGCCGTGTAACTTATGAATATCACATTGTTCTGTTTTTATTTTGCTTCGTCTAGTGGGTATAGTGGTAATGGCAGCATCCATGTGTTGTTTGGTTTTTTACCCCATGGATGTCTATGTCATTTGTAACAGCGGACCTCACTGTGATTCTATGTCAAATACTTACAAGGTGTGTCTCCAGTAGGAACTGCATGCTCTTATCAGCAGGACGTCGTGTCGCATGCCCTGTCTTGACAGGGATCAGCAGATGGCTCGTACCATTGTATGGGCTGTGCTCTCACTACTAATTTTTCATTGAAGTGACAGTCAGCACGAAGGTCACATCAATCACTGCAGTGGCTCTGTTTTCTTGTGCCAGTAAATTGCTAAGTCATGCTCGGTCATATGTTAAAGAAGCTTGCTGCTAGCTTTATTTCATATAACATTCTTATTGCGGTCGTCATTGCTTTGTGCTTTGGCAAAACCGTGATTTTTTTTTCACAAGTGAAGACAGCCTTTGCTAGATCAACCAACACACAATAATTATTAATATAAGCTACACCTGCTATGTTTTTTTTTTAAATGTGAAGCATTAAGACTCTTCAGGTGCTTTATAACTTGAATTCAAATCTGGATTGTTACATACAGACTTCTTCAGCTGTACAAGATGTGATTCTCTTACGTGCCTGATAACGGCAAATAAATGCAGACAACCTGCTGCCCTCAACCAGCTGCAGTCTCTCTTCGTTGGCCGTAACTATGTTCTCTGGAAAGAACCAGAGGTGCTGGCCTGGCTGGAACGAAATGTCCGTGCTGTTCTGAAGCGTGTGGATCAAGGGGACCCCTTGGTGGCTTCTTCAGCAGAGAAGTCTGGCAATTTTTCATAGACTTTGCTTTGAATGTTTTTTATTATTTTTTAATGATGTTAATGTGCGCATGTATAGCTGTAACCTGTACGCAAGCTACACTTCACATTCAAATGTAGACGCACTCGGGGCTACAACCTTGCTTATTGTGACGTGCAGCCTGGCCTTATCATTGGGCAAGCAATTTGCTGCTCCAATGCTTGATTAAACCTCTACTAGCACTGGCAATAAGTTAATTTAAATGTGTTTGCTGGTCAGGATAGCAGGCATCCATTCAAATTTTGTGCTTTTGTAAAATAGGTTGATGCTGTTTTCTGTTGACTATATTGATTAGCTCCTTAACCTCCTCACTATCAGCATCCACGTATGTGGACACTGCTTCTCAAGCTAATCACACAACAAAAAACTTCCCAGCGTCATGGAAAAGAAGCACGTACTGCTGGGCGGGTCGGTAATTCCTCTTAACTCAGTTGCACGAAAAATTTAAGTACAAAAGCAAGACACCTGCACACAGCACAACTACACTCAAACCTCGTTATAATGTAATGGGATATAATGAAATAATGGATGTAACGAAGTAAATGAAATTCCCCTTGAAAGCCCTATTGAGAACCATGCATTTTAAGCCTCGTTGTGACGTAGTAAAATTGACCGGTAAATGGGTATAACGAACTAAATTAGTCTATCAAATAGTCTATAAAAAAATGACCATTTAAGTATACCATTTTCTGCGGAGTTTGACGCTTGTTCGGGGAAGCTCTTTCAAAACTCCCACGCCGACCTCACAGCCACATCACGCGCGGCCAAGAAAGCCGTCCTCACACAGCCAGCCACGGAGGAAGGATTCAGGAAGCGCTCAGCGGGTCACATGACCGAGAAGCGGCGCAGCGGTGCAAAACGATTTCCCTCTAAAGACGATGGCAAAGACTGCGTCTCCGCTGCTACCCCCTGCACCGAGAAAGGAGGACGCTCCACGACAGCTTTCTTTCTTTTTCCTTTCTCTCCACGCGCGGCCTTGAAAGGAGAAGGGTCTCTATGTGCGGAGACGGAAAAGGGAGAAGCGTGGCAAGGCGCGTCGCAGACTGGCATTTGAGAGAGAGCAAACAATCTGCCACGGTCTTTTCTTTCTTTTTCTTCTTTTCCTTCTTCGCACGCAGCGTTAAGAGGTGCCCCCGCGAGATTGGGCATTGTGCTGAGAGCATTTTCGGAACGCGGTATGTTCGAATTAACCGTCGCAAGTGCTTGCGCGTTCGAATTACAGGGCATTTTCGCCCATTGTAATACACATAGCTTTGACGGGACCTCAGCGTGAGTTCGAATTAATAGAAAGTTCGAATTAAGTGTGTTCGAATTAATGAGATTCGGCTGTGCTTATTTTCTGTCGCACGAGTAGTCGCGTAGCGGTACATCGGGCCGCGAGGCGGTTTCCTTCTTTGCATGCTTATATGTATGTATGCCCATCTGAGCATACATTGCCACAAACTGTTATAATCTATATAACGAAATAATTGTGGCTCCCCTTCAACTTCGTTATAACGAGGTTTGAGTGTAACAACTGTTGTTAGTTGCGCTGTGTCCAGGTGTCTTCCTTCTGTGCTTCAATTTTTCACGCAACTCAGTTAAGATGTCATGGAAAGCTCGTGCCGTCTTTTCCTAGAGTGTCCTTACTCGTACTCCAAGCTTGAGTAGAAAATGTCCACATTAGCGACTGGTGTACAAACAAAATAGAAAGATGGTAGGCAGATCATGCAGTGTGCAGCCGCATAGGTCTAACTGCTTAACGTTTTAGAATTAATATTTTATGGCATACAAAGTAGTGTCAACAAAAGTTATGCCATTTATTTCGGGCAATCATTTCAAAAATATTCGACCCCTGAAAGTCCGAATTTGCACTTATTGGCTGTGTTTTTGCAATTTTTTTTCGCCTCTTTCGGAAGCCCGGGAAATAAGATTTTGTAAGCTGCATTTATTTTTTATGTCTAAATCTTTGTTTAGTAGCAAAGAGGTTAAAGGGCACATACGATATTTTTGTGAGTAATGATAAAATAGCCTTACTATTAGTGTATGACACTTCACAAACCACATGCTGCAAAAATTTTTAGGATCTGCCGATTACAAGCGGAGTTACAGGGATTTGTTACATGCTTCAAGGGTTTTCTCTCTTCTTTAGCTCTGGTGAGGGCTCTAAAAGCTAGACAAGTAGGGCCATGACTCGGGGGCAAGAAGAAGCGTCTCTTTGTCGGGGCGCGTCATGACCTTGAGCATTTTCTTGCCTTTCTTTTTATTCAATCGCACGGCTGCTTTCAGTGATCGTAAGCGTGAACACGTGGCGGCAGCCCCGGTGACTGCAGCCCGCAGTGTTCAAATCAGCCAATGATCGGGGGCTTGCTATATGAGACTGTAATCTGGGTACATGGCATAATTTGTGGACAGTAGTGGAAGCGATCTCTAGCTGACTGAGAATTCATTGTAAGTTCCAGGCCATGTGCTGTGCTCCAGTATTTAGCTCACGTGTTCTCTGGAGGTTTGACTACCGATCGGAAGCCTTTTCTGACCATGCTCAAAAAGTGTGGCAGGGCCTTTTTAAGGGCTGATGGTAAAGTAGCTTCTCATCACAATGAGTATCCTGAAGTGTTCCTGATGAATTAACTCATCGTGAACTTTCTGCAAGTTTCCCCTGGAAAGTTTGCTTGAAAGCGTCTTTGTAAAGCTGTGTATGTTGAATTTTCTTGCTTGGTGGCAAAAAACAGCTAATGTGAAGTTTCATTTGTAAACAGTGGTTGGTTTTAAAATAACATCATCACATGGTGTACGCACGTTAGTGAGGTGCACTCTGCAAGTTTTTTTTTTATTTGCCAGTGACAATGATTTTGGCAATAATGAATGGTTGCTAACTATGAAAACGAGGAATGCTTTCACTTTGAATTATCAAGCTGTAACAGCTCAGACTCAGAGCCAGAAGGCATGGCTAGCACCTGTAAGTAGGTTCACCTTCAGAAAAAAGTCTGCCTCGGGCATCTCTTCAATTTCTACACACTTTCTGAAATATATTCTGCCAACTGCTGCCAAAGAAAGCTAAACAAGGCACTGTGTTGTGTCCTGCAGAAAAGTGGACTCTGAAAATTAAAAAGATGCCGTGGGAAGATACTAGGTACTAGTGCTGAAAGCGTGTATGGTGCCATATGTGCCCTTTGAATGGTACCACATTTCGAGCTCTAGCCGTAAACACCAGTAGGCATTGGTGGCGGTCATCTCTTCTAGAAACAAATTAAACTAAATAAGCAGGTCTAAAAGAAATTCTACACTGTTTCTTGTTTCCAGGGTGCAGTAGAATCTTTCAGAAGGAATGTTGCTGGCCCGGTGTTGTGTGTTTAAAAGGGTGACAGGGACATGAGAGACAGGCATGTGAGGCTGGGTGCACTCCCAGTAGGAAATAGAAAGCTGGCTCTACTCTGAGAACATACAGTGCAACATGCATGCTACTCTTATAAGTCTAGCTCACATTGTTTTTTATTTTACTTTTCTGGCTTTTAAGGAATTTTTTATCCTTCCCATGTGGATGCCCAAGAGTCAAATTTATTCGTTATAACCCATAATGGAGGATGAGAATATTATAGTGAAAAGGTTTATTATGCTACTCCCATTGATGTAGCTCGCATTGCTCTTTTTTTTTTTAACTTTCTTGGCATTTAAGCATTTTCTATCCTTCCCATGCAGACACCCAGGAGTGAAATTTAGTTGTTATAACCTATAATGGAGCATGGAGCATAGTGAGAGGTTTATTACAATTTAAAAGACATATCCAGCTCGCTCTCTCATAATTTAGCAGCTGCTAATTGTTATTTAGATATAATTACTGAAATTGGTATTGCTATGGTGACTCTCACTATGCTCACTTATCACTTTCCTTGTGAGCTCTGTGGTCGTTAACACTGCAGTTGATGAAGTGGGAAAAGTTGATGTTATAGCTGGAAATTCACACTTGGGTGAGCTATATGTACTATGTCAAGTGCTTTAAAGCCTTTTGCGGTGTGACAGGTTTTAGTTGGGAGATCTTCCCTGCAAAATTCAACCAAATGCTTGAAAGTTGGGAAACTTGCTGGATTTGCTAAATGCTAGGGGAGACGCTCCCTGGATTTCGTGCCGACCGGTTGTGCGCCCGCGCGCTCCGCGCGCTCGCGACCTTCGGCGTCATCGTAGCTCTGGCCGACTGGGCTGGCCCTACGTCATCTCCTGTCGCCGGCTGTCTTCGGTGACAGCGCAGCTCTGACCTACTGGACCTGCTCTACGCCATCTACAGACGCCGACACCATCTCTCGCAAGTGTACCCCGTCCTCGGACTCCAGTGACCGTTTTTCCATCTTTCCTGTCTCTTCTATCCCCTCAGTTTGTTGTTGCTTCTTCTTCCTCTTTCCTATACTTTTACCTCTACCCTTTTTATCCCTCCTTACCCCCATCCCTTTGTGGGCTCTGTGGCGGTGTCGCTCACTGAAGCAGACAATAACGGGGCTCACTTTTCTCTTCCTTTCTCTCAAGAACCACTCCGCTAAATGCTACTTAGGTACTTTGGCGCATATATGTGTATTCCCTTATTGCATTTAGTAATGCCAGATATTTCCAGTTAGATCAATTCATGTCCAATTGCAAGTGCAGGGAATATTTATGATGCTAGCATGGTTTTTTGTTAACACTAGCCTATCATTGAGCTGACATAGTAAGAGTATAAACCAAAATCTGGTGTCGTGTTTTTCAGGCGAGCGAAACGCTACCAGGGTGCACCTCGCAACCTTTCCCGTCATATAATTCTTTCCAACATCCAAGAAGCCAGTGTAACGCTACCCCAGGTAGGGAGTTGGTGTATTAATGTATTATTTGCTCATTCAATTCTTGCTTGAGTATGTTTAGTGGCGTTGCGTGGACCAGCTATATCAGGTTCACTTCACTGTAGTCTTCTTGCTCTACATGTGATAGTAGAGCCTTTGTGAAATCTAGTATAGTGTAAAAAGTGGTTCATACTTTCTGTTACGATGTTTTCTGTTCATTGTGCTTCATTATAGGTAGCAGAGAGAAAACAAGGTTTTAAAGTACAAGATGCTCAATAATACTTGATTTCAAGACTAAGGGTAACACAACACAGCTACACAACACAGCTCCTGTGTTGTGTTACCTATCTTCGTATGTGTGCTGTTTAATACTTGATTGTCGCGTAAAATACATATAGTAAAATGGCGACAAGGAGAAGGCGCTGAAATGTTGGACTACTGACTGTTTGATTACATTCTTAGAAATTCTAAGAAAAAAAAGACATCTTCTATATAGGATGAGTGCCTTTTGGGCGTGTTGGTAAAGGTTCATGATGAAACAAGCGCAAAAATACACTCAGGACACAGAGAAGCGCTTACTAGCAACTGAAAATTTTATTTCGAAGCGAACACTAATAAATACATCACACGCATGTACGTCATTCCCGCCTTCCCCTGTCATCATCAACAACGTGATATAACAAAATATGCATGCACCCACAACCGGAAACAAACACCTGTCAAGAACTAAGAAAAGAAAACGTAAAAAAAAAACAAAATAAAAACCAAAGAAACAAAAAAAACGTAACACAGAGAAAAACACTGGGTTATGTGACGTCCAAAAAAGCAAATTCCGCATCTGTTAGTAGAACTGACGCTTGGCTGACGCAACTGTCCCCTCCTTTTCTTATTCTATACGCTTCCATTATTTCTCTCGTCCTCCGCTTGTTGTGCCTGTCATTTATTCGTGTGTCGGAAAATTTCGGTTGGCAGGTGCACTCCTTGCAGTGCATTGCTAAGTGTGAGTAAGGGGTCCCCTTTAGTGAACTCTCATGTTCATGAAGGCGCACATTTATGCACCAACCCGTCTGACCAACATATTCCTTTCCACATGTGAAAGGAGTTCCATATAATACATCTTTTTTGCACTCAACGTACCTCCTGCCATGCTTTATGCTACATCTGTTCGATTCTCCAGTTCATTTTTTGTTGACTAGCCTTTCTACTGCTGGACAAATCTTTGATACTAATTTGTTTTCAGCTGAAAAAACAACCCGCACGCCATACCTTAATGCAACTTTTTTCAACCTATGTGAAATATTGTGCAGATACGGGATGACGACTGTCCGCTCTCTTTCACCCTCAACTTGTCTCCTCTCTTCGCTTGTGCCAATTATTGCATTTTTTACTTCCCGACGATTCTTCTCACATGCCAAAAGGATACATTCATCCTGGTAACCAGCTCCCTTCAAGCGCTTGATTTGCGCGGAAACACTCTCATTCATTGAGTGTACGCACGATTTCATGAGGGCAGCTTTGATTCAAGAAGTTGCAGTCCCATTCTTTACTATGTTCGAATGTGCGGAATGATAGCTCAGCAATGGTGTTTCCGATCTAGGGTGATACATCCAACACGTGTGAAAAGGAGACAAATTAATTTTTAGGTCCAGAAACTGAATGCGTCGTTCCTTTGGCACCTCAAAGGTAAACTGTAAACCACACCCGTTTTTCCTAAAAGCTTTTAAAACAGTCACTAACGTGCTCATACCTGGATCGTTTTTTACCAAAACAAGGTAGTCATCTACAAATCTGAACCGCTTCAGATCCATACCATCTAGCTCCTTACTGCTGTGTCAAGTTTGCTCAAAAAAAACATTGCATAAGATTGGGGCGACACTAGACCCAATGCAAATCCCATCCTTCTGGACGTACAATTCTTTATTCCACCCCACTAGCGTGGAACTCAGATACATGGCCAAAATCTCCATAAAAGCTTCTACAGACACACCACAGGCGTTACAAAAAGCCACTTCATCATTTTTTTCGTGATGCACTTTTGTATGCTTGTGTTTTTGTGTGTTCTCCTTGTGAAAAAGGCTTGTTGCTGGAAGGGTTCTTTTTGGTAAAAACACACAAGGAGAACCTTCTGTTCCGAACCATTGTCTCAGAAAGGGGTACCTGGCTACGTCTCATGTCCGAATTTTTGCAAAAACATTTGAAAACGCTCCGGTTTTGTGACCCGTTTTTGGTTTCCAACTCCATGGAAGTAGTGGACTACTTAAAGGGAGATGATGTAAGGGTCTCTGATGCCTTCAGTATTGATGTCGTCGATCTGTATTATTCCATTCCGCATGGTCAGTTACTACAAAGCGTACAAGAGTGCATCACGGAAAAAAATGAACTGGCTTTTTGTAACGCCTGTGGTGTATCTGTAGATAGTTTTATGGATATTTTGGCCATGTATCTGAGTCCCACGCTAGTGGGGTGGAATGAAGCATTGTACGTCCAGAAGGATGGGATTTGCATTGGGTCTAGTGTAGTCCCGATCTTATGCAATGTTTTTTTGAGCAAACTTGACACAGCAGTAGGTAAGGAGGTAGATGGTATGGATCTGAAGCTGCTCAGATTTGTAGATGACTACCTTGTTTTGGTAAAAAACGATCCGGGTATGAGTACGCTAGTGACAGTTTTAAAAGCTTTTAGGAAAAACGGGTGTGGTTTACAGTTTACCTTTGAGGTGCCAAAGGAACGACGCATTCAGTTTCTGAACCTAAAAATTAATTTGTCTCCTTTTCACACGTGTTGGATGTATCACCCTAGATCGGAAAAACCATTGCTAAGCTATCATTCGGCACATTCGAAGATAGTAAAGAATGGGATTGCAACTTCTTGCATCAAAACTGCCCTCATGAAATCGTGCGTACACTCAATGAATGAGAGCGTTTCCACGCAGATCAAGCGCTTGAGGGGAGCTGGTTACCAGGATGAATGTATCCTTGTGGCATGTGAGAAGAATCGTCGGGAAGTAAAAAATGCAATCATTGGCACAAGCGAAGAGGAGACAAGTTGGGAGTGAAAGAGAGCGGACAGTGGTCATCCCGTATCTGCACAATATTTCACATAGGTTGAAAAAAGTTGCATTAAGGTATGGCGTGCGGGTTGTTGTTTTTTCAGCTGAAAACAAATTATCAAAGATTTGTCCAGCAGTAGAAAGGCTAGTCAATAAGAAAGGAACTGGAGAATCGAACAGATATAGCATAAAGCATGGCAGGAGGTGCATTGAGTGCAAAAAAGATGTTACATACGGAACTCCTTTCACATGTGGAAAGGAATACGTTGGTCAGATGGGTCGGTGCATAAATGTGCGCCTTTGTGAACATGAGAGTTCACTAAATGGGGCCCCTTACTCACACTTAGCGATGCACTGCAAGGAGTGCACCTGCCAACCTAAATTTTCCGACACACGAATAAATGACAAGCACAACAAGCGGAGGACGAGAGAAATAATGGAAGCGTATAGAATAAGGAAAGGAGGGGACAGTTGCGTCAGCCAAGCGTCAGTTCTACTAACAGATGCGGAATTTGCTTTTTTTTGGACGTCACATAACCCAGTGTTTTTCTCTGTGTTACGTTTTTTTTTTTTTGTTCTTTTTTTTTACGTTTTCTTTTCTTAGTTCTTGACACGTGTTTGTTTCCGGTTGTGGGCACGTGCATATTTTGTTATATCACATTGTTGAAGATGACAGGGGAAGTCGGGAATGACGTACATGCGTGTGATGTATTTATTAGTGTTCACTTCGAAATAAAATTCTCAGTTGCTAGTAAGCGCTTGTCTGTGTCCTCTCTCAGTGTGTGTTTTTTTGTGTTTGTTTCATCATGGACATCTTCTATACATTTGCAGAGAACCTTGGAGCAAGCACTTTTCTGCATAACACAACGTTACATATATATCAGGGACACAATCAGAACCCCCCCCCCCTCCCCTTCTTTTAATATGGAAAGCTTGCAACAACTCTATGGCAGTTAGTTTTTTACTTTTGCCTAGGACTTACTTTTGCACGAAGCATGAAGCATAATGACAGGCCTTACAATGTATGGGAAGATGCCCAGTCACACTTGCCTATGCTATTTCTGTAGATTGGGTGCCATGCCACAATATAGTACAGCTAGTAAATCTAAGCACCAATTTGCCTAGTGTTGGATTAAGATACAGTCAAAATAGTGTCAAATACTGATAAGCGAGATTTTAAAAATTCATAAAGTGAACTGTTGTGATCTTCAATGAATACTGCAGAATATCGTGTGAGAACGGTGCTGTTTGCTACTGCTTCAATCAAGGCAAAACAAGCAGCAATAAGACTATTGAGTTTTTCAGGTTCAGGTGATAAACTTTGTGGACTAAGGGATCAATCAAAGCCCTATAGCATGGTGGTTGATGTATTCACAAGCTCATCAGATATGCAAGCAAGTCATATGGACAGCACAGCCGGCATGCTTTCCAAGCCACACATAGAATTTCAGATGAGCAGTTGATAAAAGCAGTACCAATGGCTGAATAAAAGTTAGTTCGTGGCTGGCGGCTCCCACAAAAGCAGTTTGTCTGAGAAGCTCTGGAGCTATAATAGATTGTAGTTTGGCCATTCACTGGAACAACTGTAAACCTGAGTTCCTCTCAAAGAAGGGCTGCTGGGTGAGCAATATGGTTGGTGCAGCTGAGCCACATGACCACATGCATGCCAATAGCTCTCAAGGTCTCTGGTGGATGGGCTCTGTATTCCCTCCTCACCTATTCATTTTTCTTTAATATGTGATGGTTATCAGTGGAGTTAAAAGTATTCAGGAAATACTTTTGACGTATACCGTATTTACTCGCATAATTCTCGCACTTTTTTTGACGGAAAACTGGTGCAAAGTTGGGAAGTGCGAGAATTACGCGATGAAAACTTTCCACGAAAATATACAGAGCGAAAAAGAAAACGAAGTGGCCGCAGATCAGGATTTTCACATCAGCAACTAACATCAAGCTTTGAGAAGCACTAATATAAACTTACCTCAACAAAAAAAAGCACAGGTTTAACACAAGCCAAGTTTTATTTGAGACACAAAAAGTTCAAGGAAATAGTCGAGAATTAGAATACCAAACACAAAGCTTGTGGACGTTGGGGGCATAGCGGTAGCGTTTGTCGCTCAACAGGAGCCCTCAAAAGGTAAGCCTAGAACGTCAGTATTGGGTTGATGGCTATTTAACAAAATCGTCTGCAGTTTCCTTCAGAAGAAATAAAGTTTATCATCAATCCCAGTTTTAGGCACATGGAATGCCCAACGCGTCTTGGTGGCTTTCAGCTGCCGTCACCAGTAGCGAACACAAAACTGTTGCCCTGTTGCTGTTGTTTAGTGCGTGATCTATCACTTTCAGCTTGAAATTAGCCGTGTAAATTCAGTATCGCCCCATAACGTGACAAGATTACCGGCACAACTTCCAAAACACGCCGCAACGCGTACTTGCCATTTTGGCTTGGCTTGGATTGAATTGAATCTCTGTGCAATAATAGTATGCTTGATGCATAAGAGATGGTGCCAGATGGTGCTTGCTATCACCATCAGTGGTTTGAATGAGCAGACGGCATTATTGCGGCAGTTTTGGGCGGTGCGATAATTACTCAAGGAAAAAACGAAATCATATTTTTGTTGGGCGATGTGGGGGTGCGAAAATTATGCGAGTGCGAGGATTACGCGAGTAAATATGGGTATATTGCTACTATTCAGAATGGGGCGTAGCAGCTGAAGCTTATTTCAGCTACACATTCCTTTCAAGTTTTTATTTATCTCTCTCTCTCTCTGTGTGCGTGTGTGTGTGTTAATCCTATGCATAATGGCATAGTATACTGTATTACAAAAAGAAAAAAGATCAAGCTAGAATTTTAGAATTTTTGTACAGTAAAAGACGAAGTATGACATGGATAGGTTAATGGGTACCTTGTCTGTGTGTTCTTTAGGTGTGCTGAACTTTTCTCTATCAATAATGTACCAAATAAGATTGCCTAGTGATTTCATTTACTGGATCAGCTGTTAGAATCGGGTGTGCTGGAGAGGCAGAGTGCAGTATTGTAGTGTTGAGATGCATTACATGACAGACACTGGTAACTGATATTACTAGTTGGGATTAAGGGGGAAAAAGAAAAAGGTGTTTCACAGTTTTATGTAATGCCTAGGATGGATAACTTTTGTACAATGCAATAGGTTGCATGACACTGATGGAGTCCAGGTGCCAACGGTACGAAATTTGGAAGTTACTAGGCTTGACAGGGAGTCTACTGATGTGGGGCAGTGGTAATGGAAGATACGAGTGTATGTACGTGGGTTGGTGATGATGAATAACAGCAGGTTTACATTTGCATTGGATAAAGGCTGTTTTATACATTTTGACTTGTGGTTTTTTGCCTTCAGGAACTGTCCAACTCTCCCATCTTTGGCTTTGACCCTTTGCCACCGATCGATGATGTGAGCTACACACGCCCACCAAGGTAAGTGGCGAAGTTTTTAAGCTTTTTTTTTATTATTATTGAAATTCTCTTTAATATTGCTACAATAGTGTTACAGCAAGCTGGTAATGTCAAGACAAAAAGATTGGTTTTCATGAAAGATTTCCATTCAGATTATTGTTATTTTGTGGCTGTCTGTAGCACATCTGACCTTGCAATTTTTTTGCTTTCAGGACACAGCAAATTGGAGATCAGAGCATGATGGGGGCTTTCTTTCGATCACTTTTGCCAAGCTTTAATTTAGTAAGTTGACTTCTTCATTGTTCATAACAGTATTCATGAAAGAGATGAAAAGTCTTTTAACAAGAGGTGTTTCTGTAGCCAACGTTCTGTCGACTGGTCTTGTCGAAATGTTGGCTCCAGCTCCACCTCTGTTTTTTTCGTCTCTTTGAGCCTCCATTGTCTGGTGAACTTCCGCCTTGTTTAGTATTGCTACAAGGAATATTCAGGTCAGGGGCCAGCAACTGGAACCCCATGTGCCACATCCTGCCTTTCAGAAAATGTCACGCAATCCAACATACTTTAGAAAGGCTCTAGTACATTGCGTCGTGAGGATGTTTTACATTCATAAATTGGCATCATCACTCTGCATCTTTTTCTTTTAACTGAGAACTCCCTTTTGCCTTGGTGACTGGCTTACTCTATGGCTGGCTTTCACTTATTTTGGACTTACTGCTCCAAAATGTTGCTGTGCACCTGCTACTACTTTCTATGCGTTGTGGGCTGCGTTTAAAACTTGGATCATGGCTTATTATATACAGATCTTGAAGCAAACCTGCACAGACACTATACGGAAGAGAAAAAAACCAACAGATGAGCACTCCACTTAAAACTGAAAACATTCTTTGGATACAAAGAATATGTAAATAAGTAAGTTTCAGTGCGTGCACAGCAGTGCATAGAAATAGTTAAAAGGAGATCCAGTCAGGACAGACGGCAGGCTACAAGACAGTCCTTGCGTAAAATAAATGTGGTTTGTTTTGCACTAGCCTCCCTCCTTTTTTTTTTTTAATGCAATATGGTTTTAAGAGCTCATGAAATAGGGAATTGGGATTTCTGAAATAATCTGTTTCTTTTAAAGCAGGATAGCAACAGAATTTTTTTCAATAGACAGCAAAATGTGAGAATTATGGTGCGTTTAACAATACCGTACTTGATTTTCCCCTGAGGCACTTATTTACATGCCTTCTAGGTTGATCCACATGCATTTCACTCCTAGAATTTTTTTTTTAAGCAAAGCTTGCAGCAACAGATTTGTGAAGCTTACAAGGTCCACTAAAATCCTCTTCACCTTGAGGTGGCGACCGCTAGTAAAGGCTTAGCTAAAGGTCATTTTGGCAAGCCTCTCCATTACCACTATCCCCACTTCCAGCCCTACATTACATCCTCCTCCTCCTCACTCGCTCGTAGATTGGACAGGAGATAACACGCGCTTTGCCATAGAGAGCTTCTCTTTTTGGGCACTGATTGCTGTTTGGGTGGGTGGGAAAAAGTCTCTAAAATAGAGACTTGAACAATGCTCTCACAGCGCACATCTTTCCAGAATATCGTCTGTGAAACAAGAAAGAAAGAAAAGCGCATGTCTGGTCTTCTTGTTCCTTTTGTATTTCTTCTAGCCTGGCCTTTCCATCATTATAAGGCTCCTAGCCGTGTTCCTCGTGCGAGATAGAAATTATTGCATTTTTCTGCTTCTTTGTGAATCAATATAGATTAGTATTATGAATCCAAACCAAACTACACACTTATCTGTTATTCTGCAAGAAAAGCAGTTAGTTAAACATGACCACACCACGCTTTGCTTGCCTCCATTTCTCCAATGGAGTAAGGGCTCCTGAATTTAAAAAAAATTATAATTTTCATTATCACTTAGTATAAATTGATTGATTGATATGTGGGGTTTAACATCCCAAAACCACCATATGATTATGAGAGACGCTGTAGTGGAGGGCTCTGGAAATTTCGACCACCTGGGGTTCTTTAATGTGCACCCAAATCTGAGCACACGAGCCTACAACATTTCCGCCCTTATCGAAATGCAGTCGCCGCAGCCGGGATTCAAACCCGCGACCTGCGAGTCAGCAGCCGTGTACCTTAGCCACTAGACCACCACGGCGGAAGGGCTATCACGTAGTATAGCCCTTTATAAGGCTATAGCAGGAGCGGGGGAATACAGTATATCTAGGCTTGTGCAAATATTCGAATGCTTCGAATATTCGAAGGAATAGTTGAGTATTCGAATTAGCTTCGATTCGAATTTAAATTATCGAATATTTTCGAAGTATTTGCAATGAACAAATATGTGTATATTAGTCTGCATGTAACCGCTTGTAAAAGTGGTTTCACTAAAATGTAGGTGTGCTAAGCCGTGAAAACATTTATTAAGGAAAATTCGCTTTGCCGCAAAGCGTCCTTCAAATTTAAGGGGGTCCTTTAACACTTACTGAGCATGGTCAGAAAACGCTGCCGATCGGTAGTCGAGGCTACCGAAAACACGCAAGGCAAATATTATAACGCAGCACGCGGTCTGTAATTCACAATAAATTTTCTAAGCTAAAAATTGCTTTCTTTCCTCGGCAAATGACACTACAAGCCCAAAAATCACTTGTCACAGCTGAGAAGGAATATACAGCTCTGGTCACAGCCATTGGTTACTTTGAGCATGGCGCGCTCGTCGTTACTGGGGCCGCCACGGGAGGCCGCCGCTTGTCCACGAGTACATGCGCGATCGCACTAAGAAAGCCGCGTATTTGAAGAGAAAAAAAAAAGGTGCTTAAGGTCACAAGGTGCGTGTGACTTATTTTCTTTCGCCGTGCCATTCCTCCCTGCTTCGCTTCCAGCTGTTTCGTTGGGCCGAGAAGAAAGAATGCAATTGCAGCGTGCGACAAATTTTTGGAACTCCGCTCATACTGGACTGATCCTAGAAACTTTGCGGCAGTAAATTTGTGAGGCAACAAGCATGTTTACTGGCTCCATGGCTCTTTGAAAAAGTGTTGCAAGGCCTCTTTAAGGGAACATGTTATCCTCATATAAATTCGTTTTAGTAAGCTTGTTATGATGGTTTTTATGATCCAAGTATAATAAATTTTAAAACATTAAGTATCTTAGAGGTTATCACTTGCATCCTACTGAAACTACTATTCAAGGTCGTCTCGACTTCCTTTGAACAAAAAAAATGGCATTTGCACACAGCCCCTATTTCAATTCAAAAGAAATATTGTGCAGGTTAGTTAGGTCATGATTAATATTCCCCTTTTTTTATGTCATACATACCATTCGAATTCGATCAAAATCACTATTTGCTTCGAATTAGCTTTGAACCTAAAGTTCACTATTTGCACAAGCCTAAGTATATCATATGTCCAAGACAGAGAAAGAAAAAAATACATAAAGTAAGTGTGATAAGAGGGCTTACGTACTCAGTGGCAGTCATGAATTCTTTATGGCGGGTCATATTAGACAGAGCGTTCCAAGATTTTAATAGTCCTGGGGAAAAGTTATACCTAAAGTCATTAGTGCAAGCGAAAAACACCAATAAGTTCGGCTCATTACTGCTGCTTGTGACTAGAGGCTTTGCACGCAATAGATATAGTATATTAGAGGATGGCAGGAGGTTAGGAGGTTAGGGTGAGACAGAAGGTTAGGTGGGCAGATGAGATTAAGAAGTTTGCGGGTATAAATTGGCAGCAGCAAGCACAGGACCGGGTTAACTGGCGGAACATGGGAGAGGCCTTTGTCCTGCAGTGGACGTAGTCAGGCTGATGATGATGATGATTAGAGGATGTGTAATGGTGGTGAGTAAACAGAAAGTCAGTGTGACAACGGTAAGTAAGAGAAGACCGAGCAGAGCCAAATAAGGGTTGTGGTGGTACATAAAATGAATGGCTGTCTTCTATATAGACTCAATTCTATTAAAGGCAAATTTTATCAAGGTTCAACACGGTAGATGCATAGTCCAGAATTGGTCGTTTGAGTATATTATATAAGATCAGCTCATTTTCTTTCATGCCAACACGCAGGGTTCGGCACAGGTAACATGTGCTCAGATTTGGGTGCACGTTAAAGAACCCCAGGTGGTCGAAATTTCCGGAGCCCTCCACTACGGCGTCTCTCATAATCTTATGGTGGTTTTGGGACGTTAAACCCCACATATCAATCAATCAATTGGCACAGGTAACATAGCTTTTTAAGGCTTTTTGGCACGTAATTGTAATATGTTCTGGCCAGGATCATTTCGAAGTGAAAAGGGGGCCTAAGGTATTATGTTCATGAGGTCTAAGTACGTACTACTTGTGTTTGTCTTTTAAAAATGCTTCCGTTGAGTGAAATGCTGTGTTTTTTGTATGCTGGTGTGCTTCAGCATTAGTCTGCAATGCATAGTGAACATGAATCCACTCTCCTGACTCGCCATCTTGTAGCAGACTATGGCATCGTTACATTTCATTATGTGTTGCACCTAGCATCCATTGTTTTGTTGCCGCCACGGTCATGTAGAGGTTATGGTAGTTGGCTGCTTACACAAAGGTTGAAGGTTCGACCCCAACCAAGTCTATCACATTTTGATGGAGGCAAAATACTAGAGGCCCATGCACTGTGCTAAGTCAGTGCACGTTAAACAGCACCGCATGGTCAAAATCTTGAAGCCCTCCACTGCAGCGTGCCTAATAACCATATTAAACCATATTGTGTTTTTGCCGCATAAAACCTTAGATATTATTATTATTATTATTATTACTTTGTCTTGTTCTGTTGCTCCTTAGATTCACCTTGCAAATTAAATCATTAGGTGTTATGTCTCACGACTTCTTTATCGTGTGAGCCACTCTAGTACTGTTATGTAGCTATAGAAAGTCTTGCTTATTGACTTTCTATAGCTACATCTCACATAGCTTTAATGGCACTTCCAAAAGTAATGTTGCTGGTGGGCAAACATGAATGCATGAGATTGGAGCGCACACTAGAAAACTTCAGAACTATTCTCTGCCCTAAATCATCGCTTACTGCATACCGTTCTGTCCACATGTGAATAACTAATTACTGGCTCGTCTTTCTGCAATAGTTTACTACTTTTTGTAATTTTGTATCTGATAGAGTAAAAAGTGAAAAATTTACTACATTCATGATGAGTGCTCTTATTTTTATCTTTGGATCCAGGAATAGTGTAAAATCTACAACCCTATCATGTAGATGGTTGGTTCTCGGTCCTGACATAACTTTGCCCTTCAGTGGCTGTATCTAATCACACT